GAACCCAAAACAATCCTACTTTGGGTATTTCGGTACACGAAGATAATCCTTCAAACCGAAGAAAAAATGACTTCTTAAAAACAAATTCCAAAGATTTGAATCATCTATCTCATCTGCTAAACTCTCTTCTCTTTATTGAGTTTTGAAACTTGACCGATACATATGATCTGACAATTAAAACTCGATGGGTCGGCGTCTTCAGTCTTCACAGCCACTACAACGGACTAGGTCTAGGCCCAAGCCCAAGCCCAATACCCTTTGAAAAGCGAAAAGTTATTCTGCAAGAGACCGACGACATCATTAGAACAGCATTTATTATTGAAAGACTTTAGGGATGACCGTACCATGCATGGCATGGGTCATACAGTCTCATACCTCTTTATTCAGTTTTACAAATATCGTACGGACATTTGGCTTAGGCTGGATGAAAATAGCCAAGCAGTCGCATTCACTTTTTTTAATTATACATAATCAAGCCACATCCTCATTTTAAAAGTTTTGGTATTAAATGAGATAAGTACTAAATGCTAGCTACGATAAAAGCCTGATCGGTGTGACAAATTAAGTATTTTAACTGTAAAGAATAACAAAAAAGTATTAAAATAAAAAACTGTTTTTAAAATCACCAAATGTCTAAATTTACAGTAGGGTAAACACACCAATCAAATTTAAAATGTTAGGTGGAACATACGTATGTAATTCGGAGATAAAGTAATGATAAATTTAAAATTAATTGTCAAATGATCCACTGTGATTTCATTGCGAAACTAAGACATAAAAAAATTGAAATACTAAACGGATCCAGATATCGATGTTTAAATGTAGAGCGGATAGGAATTAAGAAAAAAAAAATACTAATCCGGCCGAAATTGTATTACTCCACAGTCTTGGTATACACCCCTAAATTTTTTTTACTAATTTTAATCAATCTTGAATATGCTGGATAAAAAAAAATTAATTGCTAAAACAGGCCAAGATGTTGAATTACGTATAATGAGGACATTTTATGATGAAAGTACGTATACGTACTAGCTTTTCTATAATAAAATTTAGATGTATAAAAGAAGTGTGACTAACAACAAAAGGAGCATGATCAACGCCACCAGAGTAGAATCCAGTTATATACAAATCAAAAATCCGTACGTACCATAAACGTACTTTCTTCAAAACCCCAACTCCTCAGAAAATTCAAATCATTCACTATGGACGAACACGAACCATACACCCTCTCGAGCTTACCACTCGAGCTTCTCCTTTACATCATCAGCTTCCTCCCTTTTGAATCCGCAAGACTAACTCCTTTCCTCTCCACACGGTTTAGGTCCGTTTGGAGCCAAGCCTTACTCGTCGCTCACAGCCACAACGGATCCACCGAAGACATCTCTCACGGCGTCTCTCGTTTCATCAACGACTTCGACGAGCACAATCCGTCCAAAAACACTCGGAAGCTGGAGTTGCACTTTGACAGGTCAAACTTTTTGTCAACGATTCTCGCACCTCACAACGTCATGCATATGAGCTTCTTCTCTGGTGGTTCTAAGAAAGAAGAGAGATTCTGCTGGCGTCTTGAGATCAACGATCAGATCCCAAGACGCGTCGAATCAAGCGGTTTCTTGGTGAAGACGCTTTGTCTAGACTCGGTGAATTCGTTTACCCACGAGGTCGTATCCTCCATGGTTTTGGATTTTTCTTTACTTGAGAATCTCAAGATTCGTGGTTGCAAGGGATTGACCTCTCTCACTATTGATTCACAAAATAAGCTTATTCACTTATCGATCTCCGGTTGCCCACAGCTGACATATCTTGATATCAGATCATGTAAGCTTAAAACACTTCATTACCAAGGATCTCTACCATCGATCAAGATCCATGAACATTTCAACTTGACCAATGCGATTTTCGACGTAAGAAAAGGCCCAACCTATGACAACAATGCTTTCGACATCGGGCCTATATTGCTGATCATCAAAAACTCTCAATCTCTTACACTTTGTAGATGGATGTTCGAGGTAACAAAGATAATCTCTATATCTTTTATTTTAACGATATAAGAAAAATATTACTCATGCGTTTGTGTTAATCGAGTTTGTGAAAGAAATCGGCTTTACCACATTTATTTCATTTTTCTAGATTAGGACATGCTTTTAAGAGTTATATATTACTGTTTTTGTTTATAGGAACTAATCAAACCATCCATATCCTCTTCTTGGACATCATTCCAATTCTACAAGTTACATGAATTGCGGTGGATTGATAACTCGATGAAACAAGAAAACAGTAATTTCTTGATCTCTTTTCTCAAACTTTGCCCTTCAATCGAGCGCCTCTTCATTACTGTAAGTTTCAAACAGCTAAAAGCCTTTGCTAGTTCATGCATTTAGGTTTCTTCGTGCTAATATACCTTTTTGATTATTTCGAAGATGGATTCGAATACTTATAGTAACTCAAAAGAAGACGTTAGCGTTGCTGATAATGCGAACAAGCATACAAGAGTACTAAAGAGTCTAAAGCTGGTCAAGTTGGAAGGATCAAAGGATGATGAAGAGGATAAGAACCAACTGATATTGGCTTTACAGAAGATAGTCAATATCGATCAGCCTCTGCTTGTACTGTCGTCACTTTCGTCTGATTGATTCCGATTTGGAATGGAAAAGACAAACAAAACAAAAAATTATGTTTAAAGATACACGCATGAACATGCTTCAGCTGGATGTATTTTTAACGCGTGGGTTTCTATTTCTTGTTGTACAAGAAACCCCCGTCAAAACAAAACGCGAATTTGGCTTCGTCAGGATTAGCCAGATTTTCACCAATATGTATTATTCTAATATTTACTATGGTAAATGACTTGATTAAAACATTGATGTGGCAAGCATATATATATGTATGAATCTTTGGTGGTACAAGAGTAACACTAATTGATAATTGATTCTCGTACACTTGCAACTTTATCTTATATATAATGGCCAAAATGTTTAGTTTGGGACCTTTAGGTGAAATATCGTTTTTAAACCATATATATGTGCGTGTCTTCTTTATCTTTGACCTGTTCAACAAAAGCAAGTGTGGGAAACTTCATCTGTCAACATAAGGAAAGCGTGCATCACAAGTCATACTAAATATAACGATTATCGTCCCTAAGCCAACGAACACCATTTTGATACCATCATCAAGTTTGGTCAATGGACTTAGCAACGCAAACAAATGTTATGGATATATACTGAAAAACTACTTTTCTCAAATTGCCAAATCACAAGTTAACCTAAAATACCATTTACGTGCTTTGGTTCAGAGTATGGGAATGTACAAATCTCCGTCTAGAAGAACTTCCTAATCATAAAAAACAGCAACAAAACGACGGATACGGAAACGAAATGAAACAAACACAATTTAATGTAACACAATGTTTCATTGCATGTTTGTTTTTATGTTTGAGAGAAAACTGAAACGAACCAATATATGTTTAGATATGCTACATCAATACATGTGTTTATCGAATGACATGACGACACATAAAGAATATGTGATTCTACGTACGTGAACAAATTAAAACGATCAATCTCACAGTAATCTTTTCGACTTTAATGATCGGGTTGACTAACGCCAAATATATGTTGGTTAGTTGCCCACCAACCCCAAATGGCTCAGAGAGGTCTGGTGGTATAAAATTTTCAAATGACACTAAACAATCAAGTGTCAATATTATAAAACCGCAAAAAATAAATATTGTATATTCTTTTGTTCCTGTTACATCATCTATATATATATATGTTTGGGATATACCATGACTTATCAAAAAAAAAAAAAATTACACCATCTAGCAAAAAATAGATATTATATACTATATAGTTGAGAAGATTATATATTTATACTCTTCTCAACTAAGTATATTATATAATCTATCTACTGTATCTCTATCAACTAGTTATATTTTGTAACTTGGTTGATTGAATTGTATGTTTTAGTGTCTTGTATGTTTTTATCAATGTGTTTTTTTTTTTTTGGTAATAGTATTAAGTATAAGAAATGACCTCAATTCAACTTTTCTTCTAATGAACATGTTTTAGAAAGAAAAAAAAACATTTTAGTAAAAAAAAGGAATGTTTTGGAAAAGGTTTAAACTTTAGTTCCTTCCAACCATATAATAGTTTTGGTAAAAGGTGGACACACTTAAGAAAAGGGAACAGATCAAATGCACTGGCAGAAAAAAGAGTCTCCATACTGCCTCAATGATACCTGCCCCCACTGGGGTAATGCTAGTCTCACGCGTAGTAACACTCTTCTCTTTCATCACCCGCACCTTTCCTCTTCTATAGTCTCTTCGACAACGAAGATGGGGAAATAAACGATGACAGCTAATTGTTTGCATCCTTCACGGCACACCAACCAACCAACACGCACATTTTTCAACTTCTCCTCATTTGGAATTTTTTTTTTATATAGATTTTACGTAACTTATGATTTAACTTTGACCTAAACAGTTTTTTTGGTTATATATATATGTTATCGAATTAAATTCTCGTGATTATGTATTGTTTGGTTGGAGCACGAACAATGTAATTTTGAAGAAAACAAAAGTAGAAACAATCCATAGCTCCTGTTATCGATCGGTTCTCGCCATTTTATATTTGATATTTACTATTAACAAATGAAAGTTACTACAAGAAGTTGGGTAAAATGTTAGGGATGTTGCAGTGACTTAACCGGGTCCGAATCCGATCTAGACCTGTTCTTGTCTAGGCCATATATTAATTAGACCGTCTCGTGTTTGATCGTTGCATTAATAAGGTTGACGATTTTGATCTGTGACTGGTTTTTTTTTTTTATTGCTGAACTTAATATTTACGAGTTTTCCTAGAAATTATTAGAAGGGAAAATCAAAACAAAATAAGCAGAGAATAAACGAAGAATACCTGAAAATAAAATAAAACTAAAAAACTCGTCGCCGTAGTTGACCGTTACCAGCCTCCCCGGTGTATTAATTATACAAATTATTAAAAATGAGTAATATAAAGGCATTAGAGAAATACTATATAGTATTTTGGTAATAAGTATTTGTTAAAGAAAAATTGCGTTACATCAGGTGACACACACACATACACAAAGACTAGTCTGTCTTTTCACTTTTGAGTCTTTGACCCATTTTCTTCATTTAATTTCCGAAAACCCAAAAAAGTAATTTAAACAGAAAAAAAAAGAAAAATCAAAATCACAGCAACAACAAAGAGGAAAAAAGATATTACCGGAAACGATTTCTTCGCTGATTCTAGAACTTTTCTTCCCTCTAAGCTTGAGCAGATCCGGTGAAATTCAGATTTAAGCAAAGTCCGAGAAACCTAAAGCCAAAAGGCTTTCTTCTACGCAGGAGACGGAGGTTGTTATTGCCCCGTCGCTAAGATGATGATTTCTAGGGGTTTGTTCGGTTGGTCTCCGCCGCATATACAGCCGTTAACTCCGGTTTCAGAGGTTTCCGAGCCTCCCGAGTCGCCATCTCCTTACCTCGATCCCGGTGCCGAGAACGGCGGCACGGGCATGGCGGCGCAGGCGGAGGATGAGGAGGAGATGGAGGAGCCCGAGGAGATGGAGCCTCCTCCTGCAGCTGTTCCTTTCTCTCAGCTATTCGCCTGCGCCGATCGGTTCGATTGGGTGCTTATGGTATTCGGATCCGTAGCTGCTGCTGCACACGGCACTGCGCTTATCGTCTACTTGCACTACTTCGCCAAAATTATTCAGGTCCTTGCGTACTCCACTGAATCCGGTCACCGGATACCTCAGGATCAGTTCAATCGCCTTGTCGAGGTAGGTCAGCTTGAATACGGCTTTTAGCTAAATTCCTAATTTTTCTTGAAATGGGAAATGCGAAATTCGAGATTAATGTGTCTTTGTAATTTTGCTGTTTTGTGCTTTTACAATTTCTATATAAGCTGGAATTGGATCTTCCCACTCTTTTTTTTGTTTATTTTTGGTTTTTTTGCATGGTCAAACTTTAGGCCTGTGTTGTTGGAGCTATTTGAAAGTTTAGTATATAGTTTTGCGATGTGTACTCAAAACGAAATTTAGTTTTGCGGGTCGATTTTTGGAACTTTGTTCTCCTTCCGAGTGGAAAGTTGTAGTTTTTAGTGGGTTGCCACATTATTATTAAGTAACCTTCTTGCGAAGTTCGTGAACATTTGGTTAAAGAGGCAAACATGTCAGGGGTGTTATCTCCACAGTGTTTGTGGCACTCCTTGGTCATAAATCTATTAGCTCAAGAAATGAACGTGGGAGCGATGTGATATAATTAAACATGCAAATGACTTTATTTTTACCTGAAATAAGCATGATTTAGCAACTTTCCGAGGGTGTGAAATTCTCTGATTGTCTGCTCTCTGTGTAGCAACTTTTTTTGGATTTGGAGGACTAGTAAGAATAATGGTTTTCATCTAGTTTCTGCTTCTAGATTGTATATTAACCTGGAAACCAGCTATTATTGACTTACTTGGGGAGGCTACTTTGAATAGTTAAAACCTCTGTTTTTTTTTACCCAAATACATGCTCATAAGAGAGCAACCCCTGTTCTAAGTTATCTATCCCCTTTGTGCAGCTTTCGTTGACCATTGTATACATTGCTGGGGGTGTTTTCATATCTGGTTGGATTGGTAAGTTCACCTTTGCTAAAATATATACATATATTACCTAGTTGTGTCCTTCTTTCATCTACTGCAATGATGCTGTTCTTCGCCAACGTACTTAATTTTTCTTTATTACAGAGGTGTCTTGCTGGATACTGACTGGAGAGAGGCAGACTGCTGTGATCAGGTCAAAGTATGTCCAAGTACTACTAAATCAGGATATGAGTTTCTTTGATACATATGGGAATAACGGGGATATAGTAAGCCAAGTGCTGAGTGATGTCCTTCTCATTCAGTCCGCTCTAAGCGAAAAAGTATGTTTAACTTTTGAATCTAGTTTTAACTTTGCTTCCAAATATATTTATTTTTGCAAGGATTGATGTGTCTAATGGCATTTCTTTAATATTTGTTACATTGGACATTCGCAGGTTGGAAATTACATTCATAATATGGCAACATTTATCAGTGGTCTTGTTATCGGTTTTGTCAACTGCTGGGAAATTGCGCTCATTACGTTAGCCACTGGTCCTTTCATTGTTGCTGCAGGAGGCATATCAAATATATTTCTCCACAGACTTGCTGAGAATATACAAGATGCTTATGCTGAAGCAGCCAGCATAGCTGAACAGGTATTATAATTGTTAGGTTTATGGCGGACATTATGGAAATAGTGTTGATCTTTAATTTTATGGTCGAATCCTGTTGCCAGCATTAAACTTCGAAATGTTTCCAACAATGATATTTAAGAATTGGCGTTATAACAGAGATATTTGTGACTTCTGAACATTAAGATTGATTTCCACTACGCAAAGTTTGGTATGTTGTACTGTTCTCTTATTTATAATCAAACTTGTTTTAAGTTCAGAAAACAGTAGGCAGAGTCTATGAAGGTTAGATTGTATTTAGACAGTTAGGACCTTTCCGGTTACTTTTTTTGGTTTTAATGCGGCTGTACTGCTATCTGGAAATTCATCTCAACATATTGCCCCAGCCATGGCTTCGTTTTTGTCATGTTAGGATGCATGTATAATCATTCTTAGCATCCATAACTTGGATACTGCATCAACTTAGATGCATGGCAATTACACGCCCACTAGTCTATAATGTGTACAAGCTCTTCTAAAATATATCCCCTGCTGGTCCGTTTTCTGAGTTCTCCATTCTGGTTAGTTTACTGTGTCAGTATGGCGCATCCTGTATTAATTTTCTAATGCTTGGGTTTATTCTAAATGTGCAGGCGGTCTCTTATGTTAGGACTTTGTATGCCTTTACAAATGAAACTCTTGCAAAATACTCTTATGCAACTTCTCTCCAAGCAACTCTGAGATATGGTATCTTGATTAGTCTTGTGCAAGGACTTGGACTTGGATTTACTTATGGGCTTGCTATATGTTCATGTGCTCTGCAACTTTGGATTGGTCGGTTCTTTGTTATTCATGGAAGGGCGAATGGTGGAGAAATCATTACAGCCCTTTTTGCTGTTATTTTAAGTGGGCTGTAAGCTTCAGATTCTACTTTTACTGCTTGTATCTTCTTCTCCAGTGTCTGTATACACATTGATATGCTAATCGTATTCATATTGTACTGTGCAGGGGTTTAAATCAAGCTGCTACAAACTTTTATTCATTTGATCAAGGAAGGATTGCGGCATATAGGCTTTTTGAGATGATAAGTCGTTCATCATCTGGGACTAACCAAGAGGGAACTACTTTGTCTTCTGTTGAAGGAAATATTGAGTTTAGGAACGTATATTTCAGCTATTTGTCACGTCCTGAAATTCCAATATTGAGTGGATTTTACCTCACTGTGCCTGCTAAGAAAGCTGTTGCACTTGTTGGTAGAAATGGTTCTGGGAAAAGCAGCATTATTCCTCTAATGGAACGGTTTTATGATCCTACACTAGGTATTATATGTGATTCAAGGTGTATCAATCTTTTTATTATAATCCCTATTGAATACGCACCTGTGGCGGAGATTATTTTTAGCTGAATAAACCTGTGGTTTTATCTTAACAGGAGAAGTTCTACTTGATGGGGAAAATATCAAAAATCTAAAATTAGAGTGGCTGAGAAGCCAAATAGGCCTGGTGACACAGGAGCCTGCTTTGCTTAGTTTGAGCATAAGAGAAAATATTGCATATGGCCGAGATGCTACTCTGGATCAGATAGAGGAGGCAGCCAAAAAAGCTCGTGCACACACATTTATTAGCTCACTTGAAAAAGGATATGAAACTCAGGTAACCACTCACTGAAAAGTTTGACGTTATGAATTGCACTTTTTGTGCTTCTATTCTCATTTTAGAAGTTGGAAATGACTTATTTGTGTTGTAGGTTGGGAAGGCTGGTTTAACGTTGACGGAGGAGCAGAAGATAAAACTATCGATTGCTAGAGCTGTACTCTTAGATCCAAAAATTCTTCTTCTTGATGAGGTCACTGGAGGACTAGACTTTGAAGCTGAAAGAGTTGTCCAAGAAGCTCTTGATCTTCTAATGTTAGGACGGTCAACCATAATAATAGCTCGGCGGTTAAGTCTGATAAGAAATGCTGACTATATTGCTGTAATGGAGGAGGGTCAGCTACTTGAAATGGGTACACACGATGAATTAATCAACCTTGGTAATTTGTATGCCGAGCTTCTGAAATGTGAAGAAGCGACAAAGCTACCCAGACGGTATGATTCTCCAGCCAAGACATATATGCCTAACAACTTGTCAAGTTTCTTGTGTAGTGAAAGTCATGGTAGAATATTTTTTTTGTTTCTGACTGCTTTTGATTTTACTTGCCTATGGAATTCGTACCTTCTTACAGGATGCCAGTTAGGAACTACAACGACTCTGCTGCGTTCCAGGCCGAGAGGGATTCTTCAGCTGGTCGTGGCTTCCAAGAACCATCATCACCCAAAATGGCCAAGTCTCCATCTCTTCAGAGGGGTCATGGTGTTTTCCGCTCCCAGGAATTGTGCTTCAATAGTGAAGAATCACCCAATGATCATAGCCCTGCACCAGAGAAAATGGGAGAAAATGGCTCGTCTTTGGATGTTGCTGATAAGGAACCAACCATCAAAAGACAAGATAGTTTTGAGATGCGGTTACCAGAACTTCCAAAAATTGACATTCAGTGTCCACAACGTCAGAAATCAAATGGTTCAGATCCGGAGTCCCCTATATCACCCCTTTTGATATCAGATCCTCAAAATGAGCGCTCCCATTCACAGACATTTAGCCGCCCTCTTGGTCATTCTGATGACACTTCAACAAATGTTATGGTGGACAAGGACGCTCAACACAAGGAGTCTCCTTCATTTTGGAAGTTGGCACAGCTTAGTTTTCCAGAGTGGCTATATGCTGTATTAGGGAGTATTGGTGCTGCCATCTTTGGTTCTTTCAATCCTCTTTTAGCTTACGTCATTGCATTGGTAGTGACGGCATACTATAAGAGCAAGGGAAGCCACCTGCGTGAGGAGGTTGACAAGTGGTGTTTGATCATTGCCTGCATGGGAATAGTGACGGTTGTTGCCAATTTCTTGCAGCACTTCTACTTTGGTATTATGGGGGAGAAAATGACAGAGAGAGTGCGAAGGATGATGTTCTCAGGTACTGAAATAGTTTTCTTCTTTATTTAATTCACTCCACTGCATGTTACTGCTTTCACTTGCCTCAGTTCATTGTTTTTCTCTGATGTGCCAGCGATGCTGCGTAATGAAGTTGGATGGTATGACGAAGAAGAGAACAGTCCAGATACGTTATCCATGCGCCTAGCGAATGATGCCACTTTTGTCCGTGCCGCCTTCAGCAACAGGCTTTCGATACTTATTCAAGATAGTTTTGCTGTTATCGTTGCCATTCTTATTGGGTTGCTGCTCGGTTGGCGTTTGGCCCTTGTTGCATTGGCAACATTGCCGATACTAACTCTCTCTGCCATTGCTCAGGTTTGTTTTGTTTCTTAATCTTCCTCATTAAAACCCTTATGTCACGCATGAGAAGACTTAAAATTGTTTTCATTTTTTTTTGTTAACCAATTCCGGTTCAGTAGTGCTTGCTTCCCTTTTGTCAAAATGTGTTTTTGATTTGTGCAAAAGGTTTCCAGGTCAAGTAGTGATCGATTAAGTATGCGCATCTCTCATTCTGTGTCATGCACTTAGCTTAGAAATATTTGTCTGTTCTCCTGGCGCTTGTTTCTATTAACCCTCGAAATTTTCAGAAACTTTGGCTTGCTGGATTCTCAAAGGGCATCCAGGAGATGCATAGAAAGGCGTCTTTAGTGCTCGAGGATGCTGTCAGAAACATATATACAGTTGTTGCTTTCTGTGCGGGAAACAAGGTGATGGAACTCTACAGGCTGCAACTTCAACGGATACTCAGACAGAGCTTTTTCCATGGGATGGCTATTGGCTTTGCGTTTGGCTTCTCACAGTTTCTCCTCTTCGCCTGCAATGCGCTCCTCCTCTGGTACACCGCATTTTCAGTAAAACGCGGATACATGAAATTATACACAGCTCTAACCGAGTACATGGTTTTCTCCTTCGCCACATTTGCCCTTGTCGAACCATTTGGATTAGCACCTTACATTCTCAAGCGCCGTAGATCTCTCGCTTCAGTATTTGAAATCATAGACCGAGTGCCTACGATCGAACCTGATGACACCTTAGCTCTTAGTCCGCCTAACGTCTATGGAAGCATTGAACTGAAAAACATCGACTTCTGCTACCCAACTCGCCCGGAAGTGTTGGTACTAAGCAACTTCAGTCTCAAAGTCAACGGGGGACAAACCGTAGCCGTAGTTGGTGTTTCTGGCTCTGGAAAGAGCACAATAATATCACTGATTGAGAGATACTACGACCCAGTTGCTGGCCAGGTCCTGTTAGATGGGCGAGACTTGAAGTCATATAATCTGAGATGGTTGAGAAGCCACATGGGTCTGATTCAACAAGAGCCCATAATCTTTTCCACGACGATCAGAGAGAACATCATCTATGCAAGGCATAACGCGAGTGAAGCTGAGATGAAGGAAGCAGCAAGAATCGCAAACGCCCACCATTTCATCAGTAGCTTAGCTCACGGTTATGACACCCATATCGGGATGAGAGGTGTTGAGCTTACACAAGGACAGAAACAGAGAATCGCGATAGCTCGAGTGGTGCTGAAAAATGCTCCTATACTGTTGATAGACGAAGCGAGTTCGTCTATTGAGTCGGAGTCGAGCCGTGTTGTGCAGGAAGCTCTTGATACCTTGATAATGGGGAACAAAACAACGATTCTGATAGCACACAGAGCGGCGATGATGAGACATGTGGACAACATTGTGGTTCTGAATGGAGGCAAAATAGTAGAGGAAGGTACGCATGATTCCTTAGCCGGTAAGACCGGACTGTATGTCCGTTTGATGCAACCACATTTTGGCAAGGGTCTACGACAACATCGACTGATCTAAAGATGAGATTAGACTCTCGTACCTAATCGAAGATTAGTTTCCGGGATTACACGGGATAATGTTATTGGATGCGATTGTGAGACATAACTGGCATCTGATTATCGGTCGGGGATTACACCAAATGAGCAGAAGTTGTACAACCACGGTTTAGTTTCTGTAAGGAAATTAGGAGCTTGTAGACGTTAGATTCCCTTATTCTTTCAGGAGACCGAAGCGATGAAGAAGTAGGACTGTGTTTATTCATTGCTTGGGTCTCTTTAAGGTATATCAATTTGTTTATTGAAACTGAAGATTAGATGCAGTTTATTTGCTGAGGTTTGTTTTTTTGTTGTTGCTGTGAGTGATTTAGGTGGAGAATGTGTAATGGTTAGGAAGAAATAGAGAAAATGGCGTTTGTTTGTAAATACATTGTATCCACTTTATTCGCAGGGGTTTCTTTAATGCAAGTTTGATTGAAGTTTCATCGAATCAAGTCAAAATTTGACTCTTAACTCACAAATCACAATCCAAAAAACATTGTAGAGCATATGATACTATCAATTGATATACAAATTTATAAGCAAACAAGAGAGAATACATACATATAGGAGTAACATGATAAGATGTTTATCAAATCTCGAGGATCTTCAAAGAGTCTGCTACAACTTGAAGCTGTTTTTTTACTTTCCTCCATCTTCTCTCGTTTGCTCCAACTATGAGTGTGTAGTATCTGTCTGCAAACATCAAACCAATCAAACACTTTTGTTCTTCTCTGATACATCATTAAAATCTCTGTGTCATATTCTCTTATAATCTATGCTTACTGTTTCCAACTGCAACTGTTGCAAAGGAAGTGGTTGCATAGATAGGAGTTCTGAGTCCATACTCAAACGTGTAATAGCTCCTTCCATCCTCAACCCTCTGCATTATCCAATCTCTCAAAAATTTGATGATCCTTTAAGATATAGTAGTGACAAAGATGCGAATCTGACCTCTTTCATATCGTAGATAGTAGCTACTTGGTTTGGTGCTGCAAACTTATGCTTCACTAGATCATAAACCACCTGATGAACATATAAGAACGATGAAACACTCTGAATTCTCAAATGACATAGAGAGAAGAAGAAGAAGGGAGAGTAAGATGTGCAATGCATACCTCATCCATTGGACCCACTTCACGGATGTCGTTTTTCTCAGTTGGTATGAACCTGACCCGAACACTCTGCAGTTGCAAGTATCTATCTTTGAAAGCTGAATCATGTGCCCTGAAGTCAAACTCCTACAGGGTTTCCACGGAACAAGATCCATCTCAAGGCTTATTCATTAAAGCTTCATCCTTACAACAACAACAACAAAAACAAATATACAAAGCCATAGCTTACCCACCCTCCAGTCTGATGGGTAATAATAAGAATACCCGTCTTGTCGATCCACAAAAGCCGAGTAGCTTTTTGGTATCTCTGCTAAACATTTATATGACTCAACAAAGTTTATATTTTTGGTCCCAAAAGAATGAAAGTCTTTATTTTTCTGCAGATTTACCTTCAGCAAGAAGCAAAGTTGCAGGAACTGAAGTTGCCAGTAAGGTTCCTACTCCCACAAGAGCTTGTCTTCTCTTCCAATTGCTTCCGCTTTCTTTCCGGTAATCCATTGAATGGTTATATATCAATCAATTCAAAAGGCCAATGTTATAAGAAGAATGTCAAGAAGAGTTGGTTTCTTACTATTCTCGGAGGAATCAAGATTGCTGCCGGATGAAAGTGAACAACAAGCTCTGAGTGATGGATTTTCCGTCTGGTAAGAAGATGTGAAAAATAATCAATGATATCAGAAAATGGTGGAGGGAAAGTGGAAAATCAGATCAGTGTTATAATATAACCTTGTGGGAGATCGTTGGTGAGACACAATAGCGGATTGAGAGTGAAGAGACTGCCATAATGTGGCTACAGCTTTAGATGTTCAGTGATTGATCATTTGCCTTAGTTTTGTCTGTTCGGATAAGAGATTTCGGATTTTGGTCATTTCTCAGTTTTCGGATTGTGGATAATTGGAAGCAAATATGTGGTGGCAAATCGGTTCAAAATCATCCATCACACTACATAACATCACTGGTAAGAGAAGAGATTGCATTCGTATGTTTTGCATTTTAGAAGTTTTTTATGATGAGAAGCCAAAAACATAAAACTTGAATTCAACGATAAAGTGCAACAAGAATGTATCTTAAAAAATTGTTTTTGCCCAAATACTACTACAATCACCAGACCGATGGTGTAATAATATCTTATGACAAAACCAAGACTACGAGAGACAAAAACCACAAGTCTGTTTTATAATTGCAGAGGTAGTAGATAAACTTAGATGATGCCAATCTTGTTAGCAACATCTAAAGCATCGTAATCCGGTGTAAGCCTAACGTAAGCCTTCTTCGTTCCATCAGGCCTGCAACAACAACAACAACAAAAACAATACAATACAATTGTGTCAAATATACGAAAACATAACCAAACTCGCAAGTCACGAAAGAAAACTCTTGTATTTTTTTGACATACCTGATGAGAGTGTTAACCTTTTTGGTCTGGATGTCATACATCTTCTTAACAGCATCTTTAATCTTCTTCTTGTCGGCACGAATGTCAACAATGAAGACAAGAGTGTTGTTGTCCTCGATCTTCTTCATCGCAGACTCGGTGGTGAGTGGGTACTTAAGGATTGCGTAATGATCCAACTTGTTCCTCGGGGGTGCGCTGTGTTTCGGGTACTTGGGGTCTCTGAGCTTGGTCAAAGTCTTGGGCCTGTGGAAGGTGACCTTAGTCCTAATCTTCCTGTCCTTCTTCTTGAAGCCTTGTCCGGATTTCACCGCTTTCGCAGCCTTCAAAGCCTTGGCCTTTGGGTCGGCCTTCTTCGTAGTATCAACTGCATAATAACACACAGAGAGTTTCAGCAAACTTAAAAATGCATTATAAAGATACAAAAAAATGAATTCGATTATTCAGAGGATGAATCTTATTGACAAGAGGGAACACTAATTCGATACATGGAGATATTTCAGCTCAGATTCACTAATTTGATACCCTAATTTGCAGGCTAACGAAGCTAATAGCTAATCAAGCTAAAGTAGCATACGAAACGTGAAAATAAAACATTTTTCGACAAGATAGTTATGAAGTCTAGTAAAAAGATTCAAATCGCTAAAAAGTCCAGTATAGAGTCAACACTGAATCTGGTTTATCAAAGAAAAGATTGTACCTTTAGCCGGAGACATGGCTCAGGGTGATTCTTCACACTCGAAATCTGTCAAATTTGATAGAAATAAAAAAAACGCAACTCAGTGGAAACGAAATGTAAGAAACACTTATCCAGATAATGAAAAAAATGCGAGAAGAATCGGTGAATAAGGCGGAGGAAGAATCGGTGAATAAGGCGGAGGAAGAATCGCAAACCTGGAGAGGTGAAGCAGCTGAAAGACAGAACCAACTTTGTAGCCGCAGACAGTTTTATTCATGAGAATGATAAAGAGAAGCAAAACCCTAGATTATTTGGGCCTTTAATATTCTATTGGGCCTTTTCACCATAACCATAATGTAATAAAGCCCATGGAAATTTACCCGCCTTTCGTAAGATTAAGACATTGTCACACGGGGCGTGTGTAATTGCAGTTTTCATGTACACGTGTCAAGGATGACTCTGCCAATCACGTGCGTCAAACTAAAATCCATAGAGATTTCGCCACGTAAGAGATTTGAGAAAGACGTCTCTATCTCGGGCTGGTCCAAAGTATCTCTGTGGTTACTGATACGTCTACCACACCAGTCGTAGTTTAGTATCCTCCGCCTTAAAAATACCGAAATTACCCTCGCCGTCTCTTCAAATTTTCCATCCCCCTTACACTCACCGTTAATGCTACCCAGACAAAATCAGCCTCCGCTCCAAATCTCTCGCGCCGCCTAATCTCTACGATCTCACCGGAGTAATGGTCGGGCCAGCTATTCCAGATGGCGACGAAGGGATCTCGCTGCTCGAGTTTCACGGGAACGGTGACCGCTCCTGGCAGCTAAACTTCGACGATTTCCAGGTTTCACCGGAGCACAAGGAGAAGAAACCGCCGAGCAAGCTCCATAATTGTCTCGGCTGTTTGGGTAATTCTCTTCTCCTCTCGACATTTCCGTTTTCTTCTTCGGTTTCATCTTTAGCTTGGTGAGAGAATTGGTACAGGACTGATTAGGACTGGGCTAAAATCTAGAGGAAACAAATGATTTGCCGTTTTGGGGATTGATTGACTTTTTTGAGTTGGGTATTTTTGTTGGATGCTATTTTTAGCTTTGTTGATTCTTGAATTAGTATAAATTCCATTTCATGAAGTTGAAGCTTTTGTTGAGTTTTAGTGGAGTCCTTGATAGTGATAAGTCTGAACGAAACGGAAGCTTTCTGATGGATTCACCTCAAAATTAGATAGTTTTTTTCATGAGTTTCTAGTAATCCTGATAATGATTTTTTTAGGCTTAATCTTTATAATAAACTTCTATATATCCCAAAGAAGAAATCTGGCCTGATTGAAGCTAAAAGAAGCAAGAATATTGCACGTGTTGTCGTCTTGTTGACTTAAACAAAAGAGTTAGCACAAAAAGGGGTGTGTTTGAATTAGTTCCATTAGTGATCTGAAAAAGTGAGAAGCAACTACTATAGCTGAACTTTATCTTGCTTCTCATAGATTGAATATGAATGATTTGTGAAGCCATGTGTCTCGGCGGTTGCAGGTCCGGAAGACAACGTGGCAGATTATTACCAGCAGCAAGTAGAGATGCTTGAAGGCTTTACCGAAATGGATGAACTTGCAGAACGTGGATTTGTCCCTGGAATGTCTAAGGTTAGCTTACATGATGCTATAACTTGTCTCTTCTTCCACATTTGTTCTTGTTGATTGATATACTTGTTATATCTGACTATCTCTGTGTTGTGCTCATAGGAAGAGCAGGAGAAGTTGGCGAAAAGCGAGACATTGGCGATTAGAATATCAAACATTGCGAACATGGTTCTCTTTGCTGCCAAAGTCTACGCGTCCGTCACGAGCGGCTCTTTAGCAATCATTGCGTCCACATTGGACTCACTTCTTGATCTTCTTTCTGGCTTCATCCTGTGGTTCACCGCCTTCTCGATGCAGACACCAAACCCGTATCAGTATCCCATTGGGAAGAAAAGAATGCAACCATTGGTTTGTATCACATCTATTTTTTCATGTCTGTTGTATTCGTCTTGTGCTATTCACTGCAAAGCTTTTTTTGTGTTTCCCCAATATATGTGATTCTTGGATCAAATCTTCTCAGGGAATCCTAGTATTTGCATCAGTGATGGCGACACTTGGATTGCAAATCATCTTGGAATCTCTTCGCACGATGCTATCCAGTGTAAGTCTGAAACTTGATCACCTGGCTTTAAAATTTTATACAATATTAATCACGCAACTTGTTTCGTACAGCACAAGGAGTTCAGCCTAACGAAATGGCAAGAGAGTTGGGTGATTGGGATCATGCTCTCTGTTACATTGGTCAAACTGCTCCTGGTCCTTTACTGCAGATCCTTCAGTAACGAGATTGTTAAAGCTTATGCACAAGATCACTTCTTTGACGTCATCACAAACATCATCGGACTCATTGCAGTAATCCTCGCCAATTACATTGATAATTGGATGGATCCAGTTGGAGCCATCATCGTAAGTTTCCAAGTTCTATTTAAAAGAAAAAGAAGAACCTTTCTTTATAAAACTCTCTCTCTCTCTCTCTCCTTGTTCTTGAAGTTGTCATTTTTGAATTCGTGTAGCTCGCACTGTACACGATACGGACATGGTCAATGACGGTTTTGGAGAACGTGAACTCTCTAGTTGGGAAATCAGCGACACCAGAGTATCTGCAGAAACTGACTTACCTGTGTTGGAACCACCATAAAGCCATCAGGCACATCGATACAGTGAGGGCTTACACATTCGGGTCTCATTACTTTGTGGAGGTTGATATTGTTCTTCCTGCGGATATGCCTCTGCAAGTGGCTCACGACATTGGAGAGTCGCTGCAAGAGAAGCTCGAGCTGCTTGAGGAGATCGAGCGGGCCTTTGTGCATCTTGATTATGAGTACACTCACAAACCCGAGCACGCTAGATCACACTGTTAGCTCTTTCTCTTCCTTCTTCCGCCAAAAGCGCGAAGATCTTTATCTCTACGCTTCTACAATTTGTTCAACATCATATTGTTTAGTAGACAAAGTGTGAGATAAAAGAGTGCCTTTGTAACTGTATCTAGTTTCTTTCTTGCGTATTTCATTTATCAAAATAATCATATAATTTCTCTTCGACTCGGAATATCGTTAGATGTTTCAAAATCCAAAGATCCCAAACTAAACTCGTTGGGTTGGCTTATGAAAAATGGATTAGATCATGTTTAGTGGGTGGAGATTTCGGTTCCGGTTCGGTTTTGTTTGGGTTTAGTTAAACTCTAATTGAAGTCATGTCGGTATGGTTATGTCCGATTTCGGTTCGGGTATATTAATTAAGAAGACGAAAATACAAACGTGCTCTAACCGAGCCGAAACCAATTCGGTTTTGAATAAGTGGCTCAATGTGTTTGTCCCACATCGGGAACTTTAGCGGGATGAGTCTTGTGAAGGCGGGTATAAATAGCGGAGGACCAAGAACTGTAAAAACTTGCCTTAAACTAATGAGTAAGGAAAACAAAGCGAGCGGTGAGAACCGGTCGCAGCGCTGAACGAAAAACAAAAAGTGGCGCAAGAATTTATGGAAGGGAAATAGGCTGGCCGAGTGTTGACGCTGCTTACTTTGCAGAACTCTCTCGTGCGGGCCTCCCCATCCCCCAATTATCCCCTAGTCTTTAACCTTTAATAATATATATGTAATAACTATAATTAATTGTTGCGTTAAACCCAAATTAAATTAACAATAAAATTACTGCGAGGTTTGGCGATAAGCAAGCTTTGATTCGGGTTAGCTCTACCAAATTCGACCAGGTCGATTTTTCCTACTGTTATTCCCAATTTTCAGCCATCGGTGTTGTAAAATTTCGCCATAGATTCACCACATATGGATACAGAACTCGTGCTCTAGCTTGAGTTAGATTGGGCACGAGATCCTTTTGGTCGGTACGATACAGTCATGTAAGTTGTTGTTCTGTCTTTTTTTTATTTTTTTGGGTCATCTTTCTGGCTTTCACTTTTCCGTCACCTACTACGAATTTGTTTGCTGGGTTTCAATTGATTCGGTATTTTGTTGTTCTGAAATTCGATCAGCTCCCAGTTTACGGGTCAAATTAATTCCACGAGGTCGTCAGATGTTTGCTTTGTGGTGTGTAATTTTTTCTTAGGACTTTGTTTGATTTGGTTTAAGATATGCTTGGTTTTAGTTTCTGGAATCATCTTTGGGACATTGGCTTTGGTTGGGAGCGTTTCCTCAATTTGCATTTTTCTGGGTTATCACTTTGTGGGATTGGCATTATCTGTTTTATTTCATCTGATGGCTTTATAGATGTGCTATGAAATTGCTCTTGAATCCCGTTTCATTCTCTTACTTTAACTATGCGTTCGCAGTGATGTTCTTCGTCTCTTTGAATCGTTAATAATCTGGCGAGGAGTAGGGAGAAGGAATAGAGAAAGAATGTTCTGTTGTATAGTCCGAATTAGAGACAAAGTTCTGGGTGGATGATTTCATTATTCTAGTCTGCGAATTTTAAGCTATACAGTATATACTTTATTACTCTCATTTCTTAGGCAAAGGAAGCAATTGGTTGCTGATATTTGACATGTGGAAGCTTTGTTGTGAAAGATTCAATAGTTTTGTGCTTACCATTGTTTCTAGAGTTTAGATATTGAGCCCGAGAACTTTCTCAGTTATGCTCTCAATCTTGTGCGATGCGTCTGATTTGTTAGTTCGGCCTTAGTGTAGTTCTTTAAATTGGTCTCTCTTGATCTTTCTTACACGCTTCTCTATTGAATTCTAGTTTTAGTAGAAAGAGAGAAAAACCCAAGGACTGATATTGTTTTCTTTCATTTCTCTAAGCCTTCTCCTTTTATACAAAACAATGGAAGAGGCTCATTCGGTGAATAGTCCAAGACGAGTTTTAAGCTTCTCCAAGAGAAAGAAGCAAAAGCCCGGTTTCCGAGATTCAGACAGCATAAGGCGATCTCCATTTAGAGCATCACAAGTGCATGGACCTAAACCCTCTGAGGTGTATGGTTTCGTAGGGTCCATATCGACTGTTGTTGCCACGGTGATCTTCTTGGTATGGGCGTATGTACCAGATAAGCTGTTGGAGTCCATAGGGATCCATTACTACCCAAGCAGGTACTGGGTACTCGCTATGCCCACGTATCTCATGGTCACTTTGCTCTTAGCTTTGGCGTTTTACATTGGTCTCAACTTCATCGCCACTCCACCACCGACCTCTCTCAATACATTGTTTGGTGAGTGTCCGCGTCGCTCTCGAAATGAAGTTCTCTACGCCATTTGCATTAGCTATCTCTGTAAATGTTCTATATGCAGAGTGTGGTTTCTGAAGGTTGCTTACAAATGATGATATTTTTGGCGATACTCTCAGATTGTTTTGTTTGTTGTTATGGCAGATGAGTACAGTCGAGAACCTGGGGAATTCGATCCACAGATGGAGGAAGGGGACGAGAGGCCTATAGATCCAATCTCTGACATCGATATTACAAGAATCAATCATCTTATGTTCAATGATGCCAAGTGATGCTTTATGTCTTTTCTTCATGATCTTTATGTCTTTTCTTCATGATCTTTTTTTTTTTTTGAATTTTGACCCATGTTAAGCAGTTATTAATGGATTCTGAGCTTAGCAATTGCCAATAAAATTAGTACTACATATACCAGTTCTGATTCCAAATAGTGTCCCGGTCTTCATTTTGTACACATACCAGTTTCTTACCTAAAGACATCAAATGTCTCTTTGTATATCTGAAAGTGATGTCGTAGCATCTCAAAAGTCGAATGATTTAGCCATATAGTAGTCTCCAGTTGTTGATTAAACCCATTGTTACTTTAGTTTACCATGGAAAAGCATGAGCATAGAAAAAGCTCTACACAGCCTTTTAAGACCCAATTTGACTAAGTAGCCCATCACACACCAGAATAAACGAGCCCATATATTTTCTATTTTTCTGAATAAACAAAATTATGAAGATCTTAATATATATTTTAGGATGTTATTCATTACTATTTTCAGATATTATAATAATTTTTGTTTTATACATAGTAATTGTATTTAAATGTATTTTGTCCTCAGATAAAAGTTTGGTTGCATCTGATCTGCATATTACTATATGAGCATTATTACCGTATAAATTCTAACAAGGTCTTGATTCGCAAGAGATTTCTTCATATACCATATGATTAACAATAAAAAAAAAAAATGTTTACTATGAGAAAATAATATTTTAAATCGAATCTCACCTTCAGTTAGAACAAATTTTGCACACAAACTATTTTTTCTTAGTGTCCTGTTCTCTGATAGATGTGTTGTATGATCAAGTAAGAATGTCATAATATTTGTTTTGCCAGCATTTTATGAACCTCAACCAAATATCCGATGCATCCTTCGTTGTTCGGTTCAAAACCTTCACATGGGTTTTCACATTTCTTAACATATTCACGCTCTCTTCAAAAATCGTTGTATAGTCGCCACAACAAGCAAATATGCTTACGAGATCTCTCAATACACGGCTTACAAGCGTGTTAGTGATGTGTGCATAGACATGCTTGGGGTATGTCTTTTCAATATAGTTTATGGTGCTCCTCTTGCATAGAAAGTCTTGTTTGGTCCCATCAGCTGAGATAGCAAAGAACTTTCTCAATGCTAACTTCTTGTCATCATAAAACTACAATGTTCCACCAACAACATCAGAACAAGTAAGTTTTTATCAAGATGCTTAATTTGAAAAGAAAATAGTGTTACCGTTATGAAAATAAATTTGGGACCTATTATGGAACGAGCTTCATGATGATATTTCAAAATCCGACTTAGAAGAAACTCCTCGTCAGCTTTGGAGAGTGGTTCTCCACCAGTGTAACCCGAATGAAACATGATCTTCCTCAATCTTGAGGTGAGAGACTCCACATCTTGCAAAACTTCCTCTTGAGAATATCTCTTACGCCGCTTTCTATTAAATGAGACATCCAATGAGAATGAAGAGATCACATGGAATCAAATTTGGATATTGTTTGATGATTTTAATTCAGATCACCATCATCGTAAACATGAAAATTGCGATTATGTTGCAAAGATTCATACGTTTGTTAGATAACCGGTTTCGAATGGTTTGCTTATTGTGTTATATAAGTCCTTTAACCCCAAAAAAAACTTTAGCCTAATTTGAAATAATTGTGAAGGATAATACTCCCAACTTTTAACAAAAGATTTAGTACCACAGTGTTAAGTGAGAATAGTCTCACCCGTACAATTCCATAACCATTATAATTTCATAAACAAAGCATATATACACTTTTGAGGGGAAAACAGCTTTAGATTTAGAGCTCACTGGAAAACAACTACAACCCTAATTCCAAGGATTCTGTGAGTAAACTGAATATCCCATTCGTTTTCGTCTTTTCATTTCTTCTCCAAGACCAATTTATCGTTCTCTACTAGAATCCCATTGCGATTTTGCTTGATTTATGTATCTTTCCCTTTGCAATGTAAGATTTGAGCATTCCATGATTTCCGTCTTTATATTCTTCTTCTCTACTGTTTAGGGTTTAGATCTCCCTTCGTTTAATCGGTCGCTCCCTGTGTTCTTCTGGTTTTGATCTTTGATGTCTCAAATTTGATACTTTGTGACGTTTGCTCATATGGGTAAAGTAAATAGCAATTGAAAATCGAATTCGACTACGGTTTTCTGGGTTTGGGGTTTAGCCATTGTTGCGACTAGTTTTGTTCTAACTCATTGTATCTCAGCACAAATCTCTTTACCAAGCTGATTTCACTTTGGCAAATTTGTGCTACAGAAATCTTGAGGAACTGTGATCTAAGTATGGGAACCATAGACCTTAGGGCTGCTGCAGATGAAAACTCAATTTCGAATCTCAGCAGTCAAGTTCATCAGCTTCCTTGCTGCATTAGATTCGATGGTCCTGCTCAAGTCTCTCACTATTTCAAGCCTAAACCCAGTGGTAAGATATTTACATATTATGTATATTGTAATTCTGTTTTCACTTTGTATAATGTGATGAATGTGGAGTGTAATAGAGGTTGAAATTGATGGAGTAAGAACAGAAGAAGCTCATTTCAGAGGAAGGAAGTTGCAGGGAGCAACTATCTCACTCCCTAGTGGCTATTCTGGTACCTTTTTCTCTTCTTTCTCGCTGATGAAAATGAGAAAAGTTTTGAACTTTCTTGTGGGTATGTCTTATTAATGAACAGATTCCTGTTTATGGAGATCTTAGTTCTCTAAGATATATTGATGAATCTTACTGTGATGTATGTTCTATAAGATTATTCATTTGATGTTAGAGAAATCATGTTTTGGTTACTTTCAGTTCATTGGCGATTGGCATCTTCTCATACGTTTTTTCGTCAAGTTTTGTGCTTTCTTGTGGATATTTTTCTCTAAAATGTCTAGTATGTTCGTCATGATCTTACTTAGACAACTTCGTCATGATGAATCTTACTGTGATGTATGTTCTATGAGATTAATCATTTGATGTTGGAGAAATCATGTTTTGGTTCCTTACAGTTCATTTAGCGATTGACGTGTTCTCATATGTTTTTTCGTCAGGTTTTGTGCTTGGACAGGCGAGTAACCGAAATGCTAATGGAAAGAGGAAAGCTTGTGGTGCCACAGAAGAGAATCCGTGTTGGGAAGTGAAGGCGAAGTTCGATGAAATGACATACTGGAATCACGATACTCTTCCATCCAAAGACGATACTTTCTTGCGGTCTTTTCATTGGTTTAGCATTGCAGAAGCGGTGAGTGTTGAGTTCCATCCATATCTCTTGTTGACTGGTTTCATAAGCTAAGTTTCTGTCTTTTTTATGTTGGTTCCTAACATGGTTGAGAACAATGGGGTTTGACTGCAGCTGCACAAGCCAGTGACTGTTGAAGACTTGGCTGCAGTAACAACAGATGGTGAAAAGGGATAAATCTATCAAGTGTCATTATTTTGGTTTTGAACCAAAGTATCTTGTGAAACAAGTAGCAGTAGGTAGTTTAAGTAACAAGTAGTAGATCTTGACATGAAATTCTCAATGCTTGTTCGGTTAAAACTTGTTTGAGCCTGACTCGTGTATTGTTTCTGTAAAATTTTAGTTTATTTCTAAAAGACGAAATTAGGCAGAATAAAGGATTGATCAAATTCTATTGAGTCTAATTTTAAGTCATTTCATTTCCTTCATAACAACAGTCTTCACAAACATTTAGATTTTATCGTGGATCCTCTCTCTGGTCAAAAACAAGCCTATCAAGTACCAACACTCTTCTGGTTCCTCGTTGTATGTTGGGTTTTGTGGTCTGTCATGAGTTGAATAATCTTCTGAAAAGCCCAAACCCGAATCAGATAGGTTGAGGATTTGTGAGCCCATATGATTATTTTCTGTATGATTTTGAATTTGTTTTTTTTGTAAAAGAAAATAGAAGGAGAATATATCTGTCTTTAGTTTTCTTTCCCATATGTAGTTTCGTAATTTCTTATAATTTGTCTTACAATATGCGTAAGTAATTTTGTAAAACAAGGGAACAATATATAATTGTAATCTTAATGAATAATCCCTGAGTTTTATGTTAAAAATGCATAAATGAGTAAATATATGGTTGCTTTTATTGGTTTTTCTATTGTCATATATTTTTGCAATTAATATTGTGTCTTTAAACATCGTTTGCTAAATTTGTGGTTCTATATTATTCAGTTTCCATTTTTAAAAAATAATAATCTACTACTACTTTTGTTTTATTGTTTCTTGTAAATAATAAATGTATTATTCCATATGTGACTGTGAAAGGTCAATCAATAACTTGTAAGAAGAATATATAACATATTGTGTATTTTTTTCTATTTGCATTGGATTTGAAGATATTGTTCATTTTGTTTCTATTTTGAACTTTGAAGTTTGACGAGGGAAAATATAAAAAAATAGCATCAACAGTGACGGACGTCATTTTCTTTGCATGTATATAGTTTTTGGCGGCCCCATGCTCAAAAGTATTGGAGTGTTTAAAATTAAATATTGATTATTATTAAAATTAAATTGCCATAGATTTCGTTTCGTGTAAACTGACCATCTTTTGACATCGCTTCCGTCTTCCTCTTCTCTTTCGAAATTTTATTTGAAGTGATGATTGTGACACAGAGGTTTCTCCTTCAATCAATCTTGTTGACCTAATTTCAAATTTCTCGTCATTTTCATATTGCAAAGTCAATTTTGCTTTTAAATGTTCTCGCAAAGGTTCTTTTCGGGGATGGGATCTGCGAATCTTTGAAGATCTATACTGACAATAAAAGGTTCGAATTTGCTTTTTCTCTCTCTCGATTTTGTTCTCTCTGTTTTTTAAATTTCGTTCCTTTTTTTCTGAGATTGTTCTCTGGATTTGCTATTCCTCTATTGGATTTGTTTCTTCTCCGATTACAAAAAGCAATCGTCTCCTTTCATTGTGCACAGATTACTTCATTTCTGGTTTCTGGATATATGTTGATTTTTTAAAGAGTTGCGCCATTTCGTAAGCTTCTGGGTGTGAGTGAGGTCGATAAGAGATGGAGTCTAAGGAGATTAGATCCTCCGTGATTACCAGATCGACGATGCGTTTCAATGGACTGTTTCGACCTCTGCATCAAGAAAGGTTGAGAGTGATTGAGATGCAGAAGTTGAACTCAAAGTCCGATTCCGGATTCACGGTGGTTCCAACGAAGGAGCTTTGTCGTGTTTATCTCCAGAAACCAGATTTGTTGGCCTCCAAGGGTGTAATCGATGCACAAGCTAAGCCTCCTCACCGTCAGAGAAACGTTTCGAAATCGATTGGATTGAAGTTACCTGGGGAGATTGCAGCAAACCACAGGAAGTTTTCTAGGAGATTTGATCAGCAAAGCTTGAAGTCGAAGCTGAGATACCATACTGATCCTCTGAAACCCAAAATCGAGAAGAAAGAGAATTCTCAGAGACGGTTCTCTCCTCTTGGTTTTGGTAGTAATTCTCAGTTGCGAGATAGGAAGAAAGGGCAATACTTTACCATTGAGAAGAAGTCGAAGGAAATGAAGAGACTTTGTGATGGTACTACTACTACTACATTTGATCAGAAGAAATCTAAGGAAATGAAGAAACTTTGTGATCAGAAGAAGGATGGAGTTGTGAGAGAAGTTGGTTACAAGTTGATGGTTAGTACATGTAGGGACTCGGTGTTGAGTTTGGAGCGAAACAGAGTTGCAGCAGATGTGAAGTGCAGGGATATATCTTCTTCTACAGGTTTCATTAGCAAGGTACCTTCAATGAAACCAAAGTTGCATTTTTTTTCGTGTGATCATGATGTTGAATACTTGTGATATGGTAACGATTTTCTGGGAGCCAGTTGTGACTTTCGTGTGATATACAATATAGAAGATGTTAATTTAGTGGAACCAAATTTGCTCAAAACATAAAAGTGTGAGGGGTTTTGTAGAAGTTAATGCAAAACTGAACATTATTGTGTTACTGAAGTCTTGGAACTTATGTTGAGGTTTTACTGAAACTGCAGGGTAAAAATGATGATTCATTAGATTGCTTCAGTGCATCTCCGGAATGTCAGACCAACTCGGAAGAAGCTCATCAACCTAGTCCTGTTTCTGTTCTGGACCCAATTTTTAACGATGATATGGTAGACGACAGTGAAGAGCTTCCTTATCTAGATCTTCAAGGTAATTATGGAACAGAAGATGTTTTTACTGGAATGTGATAAACTGTATAATAAACTTTTTCTTTTTGTTCTAATCTCACTAGGTCTAGAGGAACACATTGACACTCTGAAATCTGAATCCGACAGTTATTCAGATGGGAGTGGGATGGAAGTATCAAGTGATGATGAGTCTGTGATTGATTTTGAAACCAAAGAAAGCAAGGACAGTGAACCAATTGAGTTATTGGATTTTCAAGAAAGCAGGGATTCTTCTTACATTGATGATATCTTGGCTGAAGTTGTACTTGGGGACAAGAATTGGACTCTTGACAAACGGGATTCACTGGATTCAGTCATCACCCTCAAGATCTTCGAGAAACTGGAGAAGAAGTATCACACAGAGACTTCTTGGAAGAGGTCCGAAAGAAGGATTTTCTTCGACAGAGTCAGTTCAGGTCTGGTAGAGATTGTAGATTCCTTTACAGCTACACCAACATGGAAGAAACCCGTTTCTAGGAGGCTTGGCGCAGTGCTAAGCACATGTGGACTGAAACAAGAACTCTGGAAAGTGCTTGCGAGGCAAGAGAAGCGAGCCAAGAAAGAATCATTGGCCAAAGTGCCAAACATAGACATGGATGAGTGGTTAGAACTTGAAGCTGATGATGAGCCAGTGGTTTGTGAATTAGAAAGTATGATAGTGGATGAGTTGCTGTCTGAGGTTGTCAGCTTCATGTAGAGTATTCTTTTCATTCTTTCAAATCGCATTCTCTGTATTTTGATTGAGAATAGAGAGAGAGAGAGATAGTAGTAGTTGCATTTTGGCTTACATCATCAAAGGGAGATGTATAGCGTTTAAAGGGAGTTTGTGCATACAAATTGTTTTCTTTGTCAGGTCTAGGATTGGCCTCTTAGCAAGTCAGTCACATTGCTTCAAAAAGGTCAATGTGACTTGTACCCATTTGTAAACGTGTTTCCAAAAGGCTTTTGTGTGAATGAAAACAAGATTTTGATTGTAAACAGTCTCATTTAAATAAATTTCGTTTGAAGTAAGAATTACACAACAAAAGGAAAAAGGCCACAAGCGGAAGCTAGAGAGGAATAACATGTACAAAAGCAATCATTTCTTGTTTAACACTCATACTTTCTCTTCAAGCTTTGTAGGTGAGGTATACACTGAAATGGAGGATGGTGTCTTGACCATCAGTGATATGCTGGTTGTCCTGGTTATGCAGAGTTTCCACTACGGCATACCCTTTGGCGTGCTCGAACTTCCCTGTCCCGCCAATAACCGCGATCTGAGAAGCATGAGAGGCGGTCCTGTGAACCCCAAAGAAGCTAATGGCATCGTCTAAAGTATCATGATGGTCATGCTCTCCGTGTAGCAACACGGTCAGAGAAAGAGTCTGGCTTGTGCCGTCTAAGGAACTGGCCAAGTAAAAGCCTTGAGCTTTCCCTATAACAGCTGAGCCAAGCTCGTGGCTTTCGGTTAGCTCGTCGTCCACAACGGTTATAGTTCCAAACATAAGATGCTGGAGGGCAGCACCGGGAGGGAGGTTTCCGGCGGTTACAAAGGGGAGGTTGTTAGAGCTAAGGGCGTCGTTGGAGTTGCCGTTGGTGTTTTGGATCACGGTGCTGGTTTGAGCGCCGCCGAGTCCGGTGAGAAGTGGGGCTGTGTTAGGGTTGATGAGACTGTTGATGTTGTTTGAGTTAACCAGTGGGACTCCGTTGTCTACCGGGAAAATGCTGTTGCTTGCCTTTGAGAATGGTATTCCGTTCACCTCGGTTTGAGCTACTATTCCGGTGACCACACGAGCCGATGGGTGTGACCCGCCTAGCACGTCATGCATAAAGAACTCTAGTAACGGCCCATGTTCGCCCGCTGTAGCCCCTGTTGGACCGGCCGGGACTGTGACTGCTAATGTAGTTGTGGCTGCTGCTGGTGGGAAATCGTCGGCTTCGTCGACATTTTCAGCTTCGGTTGGAGCCACGGTTGGGATTTGGTCGGTAGGGACCAACTGAGGCTGAGGTTGGATTTGGTCGAGAAGTCTAGCGGAGTTGATAAGTGCGAGGAGATTGGAGGCTATGAGGAAGAGAATGATTGTTATGTGAAGAGCTTTGGCCATTTTGGTATTTCGTTTGGATTCTCAAGTTTCGAGTGTTGTGTTTGAAGTTTGGTGTTTATTGATGGATGGACTAATGGGTTTATATAAATACTCATTTAGCGAATTTGGTTAGCGTGATTGGAAATGGAGTCATTGGAGTGGAGTTGTTATTGCTGTTGATTTGCTTTAGTTTAGTAAAAAGAGTCAACTAAACCTCTATCATGTATTTGAATTAGCTAATCACTTACTACTTGTTTTTTCTTCTCTTTATGAATGTGTTCCACTTTGTAGATTTTTTTTTTTTTTTGAGAAAATCAAATATAAAATAATGATATCGGTTTCTTTTGTCTTTATAAGTTAATTTTACTATATGCTTTGGCAAACATATGACTATAAACAATCTTGTATGTTTCGTATTAACCCGCCATTATATGTGGCTTGTAAACTATATGTACTCTCTGTTTATGCATGGTTTAAAGAAATGAAAAAGTTTTAAAAAAAAAATCACATACAGGAATTGGACACGATAAATAAGCATTGTGTCATTCTGATGTCACATAGTCACAAACATCATTACAATAATAGCATTATAAAACAAAGAGTTACTACTACTCCTTAGAAGGGACACCATCTTTTTTACGTTTAAGTTCGGACTCGAACCCTCCATTTCCTTCGGAAGCTCTCTTGTCCAACCAACCAATGATGTCAGCAAAAACAATCTCAATATTCTCTAGTGTCTCGCCATAGAGTAAACCATGCCACATTCCAGGATACAGTTTGAACGTCTTGTCCGAGCTCGACGCAACTGCATACAGTTCTGCACTCACCGCTTTGTCTGTCACTTTATCGTCTTCTCCATGCAAAACAATGAACGGTAAAGAAACCTATATAACACCAACATATAGAAATAAGCATTAGCCGCATTTTCAAACTTATAGAATGTTATCTTTCTTCATTAACGAATATATGTATATGTATACAGATAAATACCTCATTCAGCCTCTTCTCGAGATCGGTGCTGATCCTCAATAGCTCATACGCAGTCTTCAAGCGTGGACGACCTTTGTAGCAGTAAGGATTTTCTCTAACCTTTAATCATTGGTTTCACGTTATCATTAGTTACACGTTAAAAGTAGAACCTTTATACAACTTCGCCCTAATATTTTAATGCCACGTCCTTATTATAAGGTGAAAATACCTGTTTTCTGATTTCTGGCTGCTTAAAAGCAGCATCAATAATGTCTTGGCCAGGGATGATTTTCCACGTGGGTATGACTCCGCTAAGTTTCGACAATATCGAAATAACCACAGGGCTTGGTTTCATTTCTTCTGCGATCTGTGCCATCGACAAATTAGCGAGCATTAGTGCTATACTGTATATATAATGTTCATCCACACATCTATAAAAGTTATTACATGCTTCTTCAATGTAATTATTATCTTCCGCATAAAAATAATGCATAGCTGGGTTACATATTGATTTTAAGTATGTTATCTGTAATTTTGTATAATTACTTCAGCAACTTAGTGGGTGCGCTTAAATAATTAAACATCAAATTTGACCAAACTGTTTAGGTTCCACACTAGTCTTATCAATATTTTTTTATGTAATAAATTATTAATTCCACATCTTTCACAATTCACATCATCATTACTCTGTAATAATTCAACATCTTTAACAATTCACATCAACATTTTAAAAGACGACAACCAAGATTTTGGCATTTGCATATATATTCATTCCTTTTGGGTTTATTGGACAAAAAGTTGGACCCCACCAAAATAATTAAAAAAAAATTCTTCTTATTGTAAAATTTAAACAATCAATATATTTCGTTTTTTTAATAAGGTAAACAGAGGAAATTTAAAATTATCTTTCTTTTCCTCATATATGCATTTTAATAATGGTTTAATTGTCTAATGATTTCTTAAGCCAGACAGGCTATCTGAGCTTCTTACTAGATTTATTTAAGACTTTTCAAGTATATATATTGTATATGCATAAACATGTATCTTCCTATTTTTTATTTCCTTACAAAACAAAATTTCATAAAAAAAAACAATTTTGCATATGAAAAAAAGAACCTAAAAAGAAAGATAGATGGCAAGAGAGAATGAATCTAAATCGTACCTTACACATTGGAGCAACCAAGACGGCCCCATCCCAAAAGTCAGGTTTCTTTCTGTGTACCAGCAAAAGCACTGCTCCTCCCATCGATTCTCCAACCAAAAACCTCATCTTCTTTTTATTCTCTTCTCTCTCTAATAATTCCAACAACAAACAAAAAAACATCAATATCAGAAATTTGTACGAGTAGCTTCAATCCAAAAAAACATCAATTCGAGTATATTCTCTTCCTATGTTTTTCTGTGTACATTATTACACCAATACTTGTAAATGGTAAATAAAAAAGTGACCGTGAGTCAGTTGCCACCGTTTTCAAAAGATAAGCATTCCAAAAGTCAATATTACACTTTTAACCTAAAAAGAAAAGTCAACATTACCGCAAATTGATGTGTAGTGGGCAGAGACATCATCAACGAGATGATCAAAGTTTGGGACATAAGCACTAAGCCCATCAGATTTGCCATGTCCTTCGTAATCCATTCCATACACTCCAAATCCTGCCTTCACAAGCCTCCTTGCAGTACTGTTCATGGTGATGCTACATTCCATTGCATATCCATGGCAGATAAAGAGTAAAGCCTTTGGCTCTTGATTCGCTGGTATCCACTTGCACGTGAATAGCTTCATCCCTCGAGAGTTCTTTATGAAACTCTGCATTTATATAATCATCTTTCAAAACCCAGATTTCTCCATCTATGTAGAGATATTAATATTTAGTACATGAATGAGTAACATAACACATACCTCTTCATACTTGACGTCCTCTGTTTCACTTGCCTGTATATAACAAAACGAACCAATTCGTTACAATAGAAGAGCGAATTAAAAGCATTTTCAGATGTGATCTGAAAGAGACATAGACCAGAGATTAGCGTAACTGACCATGTTTAAGAAGAGTTTGATCGAAATCTCTTTCTTTCTCTCTCTTTTTTTTTTTAATTTTGTTGGAGACAAAAGGAGTTTGGTGATAAGAAGATATCTCTGGTTCTCTGTACGGCTCTGTTTATAATTGGGCAGTTTCTGCGGAAGAGTGGACGGTACGAGAATGCGTCGTCGTTTTGGGGTTGACAGTGACGAAATAACGGATTCCTTTCTTCTCTTCGCACCCCAACACGTTTTTTTAACTTATCTTTGAAAGATCCCCCTGACAGTTGGCAATCGTCAAGTTTGGCGACGTTTCAAAACACCCCCTCTACTTTCAAAATAATAGAAATTTATACCTCTATTTCTGTCATTTCATTAAAAAGGTTCTGAAGTCTTCAATAAACTATAATCCCCCATGTGTTAAATTTCTTTCATTAAAAAGGTTCTAGCTAAGGACAAGTTAATTCAAATTGGTAGCAGTTTTCAGTTGATTTGAGTTCCAGTAAAAAAAAAAATGAATATCTCCTCGAAAGAGATTGGATTGGCTGTTTTCAAGAACAATTACAACCTTTTGACAAGTAACACTTTTTTTGCAAATAATGTTATATATATATTATATACTAGTTATTTTCTGTATTATTAATATTGAAAGATCATCACAAGTCAACCATCAAATGTGTGATTTACACTCACACATGAGATTACGTAACTAAAGTATATCAAAACTTCTAAAAAAGTCAAATCTACAATTTCTACTAGTTGCATATTATATGATACCCTTGACGCTAAACTTAGATCTAAAAGTTCTACTCCGTCGGTTGTTTTTTAACATCTTTCTTTATTAATTTATAGGTAGTAAACAAATGTTAACAACTTTAAGTAAATCTACTCCTTTGTAACAAAGTTACGCCAATGAATATTTTATATTGTAAAGATTCATAATATCAACATGTCTATCATTGGCAATAAACAAATATGCAGCCGCCTTTGAAGAATCAGTCTTTCGTTTGGGTTATTGTAGTTTTTAATAGCATGTAGAAAACGATTGATCGAGATTAAAGAGACGACTGAAATCAATTAAAAATATCCCAAAACTATGGTCGGTTTTCCATTTAGGAACGCTCAAATCGTTAGACATGCCTACATTTTAGGAGAACATGTGTAAAACTATAAGATAAACATGGTTTTCAGACAATATTTAAGTCCAAAAATCTTCTCAAACCCTATCCAGCCATATGATTTTGATTGTCATCATATTGTATATGAAAGTTGTGGAAACAAATCTCTTTGTATTTATTTAATTTGGAGGTAAACTTTGTATTACAGAAAAATGTATGAAAAATCTATGAAAACTGTTAAAACGTGGTATAAATTTAATTTAAAACGAAAACTGTTAAAATATTTAACTACCAAACTGTTTCAGATTGTTTTTTAAACTTGGTGTAGTAAAAGAAAATTACATCTTTTACTATACGTCACAACTCGCAATACATCATTCACACTAGACTTGTAGTCCACATTTTTAGGCTTTTAGCAACAGGTAACTAAAACCAACGGTAGCTTCACAACATAACATAAGTAACATAAAAATACAAACACAAAAATGCAAATACTGATAATCGAAATACTCAGTCGATGGTGACATGATATGTTTTCCAGTAGCACTCAAGTCATGAGTTATTCATTCGCAAGGATAGCAATTGCAAACTTCAGTCTCCGAATCCATTGTAGGATCACATTTGCCACGTTTATAGCCTGCAACAGTGCAAAGAAGGTTGCACTGACTCACAGCCGAAATGGAAAGACATAGATCTGCTAATGCAAAGGCGCTTGGCTTTGGATCACATTCAGATTGAGCATTTCCTTTCCGTATTCCTGATCAAATAGTGATGATATATAAGTAAGAATTATCCACAATTTTTTTTGATTAAACACATCTTAGTTCTAAAAAGTATGCTTCAATAACTGATATATGTTGGATCCCATTTTTAGTAAATTTATGAAATAGTCTTCTGAGATTCATATAGTATAATTTAGATTACCTGTAGAGATCAACAGAAAACTCATCAAGAGAATGGTAAACCCACCAACATTAAAGCTCTTCACCATTTTTTTGCTATTTTTGTGTGTTTTTGCTTTTTTTTTTTTTTTTTTTATAGTGCTACTTTCGTTCTATCTTATAATCTGCACAGGTTTCATATGAAACAAGGGGGTGATATTTATACTAAAAACTAGTTGACAATTTCATAGAATTGATTGGTGATAATTTTGAAAAATAAAAAATGCATAATTTTTTTTTTGACCAAAAAAAAACAATGCTGTCCATTAATTGAATAATAGAAAAAGGTGTGTACAGCTATGTGTATATATATATATATACACGTATATTTGATAAACCGTAAACGTTAACAGATATTAAATGTTAAATCTAGAAATCATTAAAAAACAAAAAAATCCTTTGTGTTCTTCGTGTATGTTTGTTTAAGTAGCGAATATATATATATATATATGTATATATTAATGGATTTAATGTTAACGTTTCTTTCTTTTTTTGCTAAAGTATGTTAACGTTTCTTTAATTAACAAAGACAAGAGAATAAGGGGTATTTTTGATTTTCTTTGCAGTGATTGTACAACGTGCAATCTCGTATTTCTCGTTGGTACATTTCTAGCAAAACATATGTCCATTTAGTTACTAAATTTTAATGTTGAAAGTGCAAGTAAAATTTAAAGTAATTAGTGGGTGTCACTCTAAATGGAACGTCAAAACCAAAAAAGGTCTCGACGGACATAATATAAAGCGGTGGAAATAAGCGGTGGAAATAACGTACGTTATCGCGATACACAGTTCACACCAAATTTATAGTCCACAATTTTAGCAAGTCGTAACTCAAACCAACGGTCGCTTTATTTATTCAAAGTCACATTCACAATAGCAAAACATTAAAAAATATAAGAACAGCAAACACAAACACAAATGCAGATATCGATAATCATTTGCAAATATAGCATTGGCAGACTCTTATGTTATTCTCTGAACTCGTAGGATCACATTGGCCGCGATGATAGTTTAAAACAGAGCAAAGACTGCTGCAACCCAAATTAGTCTGATTACAAACACCTTCTAATGCATCGGAGATTGTGCTTGCATCACAATGAAACTGCAGCTGAGCATTTCCTTTGGGTATTCCTGATAAATAGTGATGATAAGTAAAATATATTCACAATATCTTTTTTTGATTAAATGCATAAATTTAGTTATAAGTTGCTTAATTTAAATGAGGTTTGATCCCATTTTTAAAAAAATTCATGAGATAGTCTTGTGAGATTCATATAGTATAATTTAGATTACCTGTAGAGATCAACAAAAAAGCATCAAGAGAATGCTTAACGGTTTGGGAGTCATTAAAAAAAAGCATATTGCTTTAAACAATGTTTCAGTAAAAGGAGATAAACAAACTCCACTTGCATATATACCACAGGAGTAGTTTTGAGAAATCGTTTTCTATAAAATAATATATAAATTCACAATAGTAGCATTAAAATTTTAAACAAACACCAGAATTTTAGTACACCACTTTTTTTTTTTCGATCAAACCGATATTCATTTATGAAAGAAACCATCATTATTAAAAAACTATCCCTTGAAGTTAAAACCATCATTACTATGTTTAAGCTCCGACTCAAACCTATCATTTCCATAATCAGTTCTTGTTTCCAACCATTCGATGACGTCAGCAAAGACAATTTCGACGTTCTCTTGTGTCTCGCCATTGAGCAAACCGTGCCACATCCCAGAGTATAACTTTAAGGTCTTGTCAGCGCTCAACGCAACCTTGTATAGTTCTTGGCTCACTGTTTTATCTGTTACTTTATCATCATCTCCGTGTAATACCATAAACGGCAATGAAACCTATATATAGTCATTAATTAGATCCAGCTTTCTTTATAAAAAAACAAATTATACTATATTACGATAGTTACACCACTAATATTTGACTCTTGGAGCAAAATCTTAATATCAATGCATTGTAGGGAATCTTGAAAATTTGTATAATTCATATATATACCTCTTGAAGACTCTTCTCCAAGTCGTTGCTGATCCTTAAGAGCTCATACGCAGTTTTCAAGCGTGGTCGTCCTTTGTAACATAAAGGATTTTCTCTAACCTTAACTCATACCATGCATAATGTACAAACGTTCAATAAAGCTTCTTACACAGTTTTTATATACTATTTTTTTTTACTACTATGCTATGTAGAAACATACCTGTTTTCTTATCCGTGGCTCTTTATACGAAATCTCGATGATATCTTGACTAGGAATGATTTTCCATTTGGGTATAACCGAGATAAGCTTCGTTAATATCGAAATAACAAAAGGACTTGGCTTCATTTCTTCTGCGATCTGTGATAAATATATTTGACATTCATACTATTTCCTTACTGGCAAAACAATTGCTTCAATCAATCTACAGTAGCATGAACTATAAGAAAATACGCATTTTCAATTTTTTTGCGTCATTGATTGACTGAATGAAAAAAAAATGGAACATTTGGATTGATGTCGTAAGATTATTTCGCATAATATAATAAGCATGGTTTAATAATTAAAAACATTTGACTGAGTTTCAAATCAACTTAATTACCCTTACTCTCATTATTTTAAGCCCACTACGCTCAACGAATTCCAAATACTTAATTTATATTAAAAAAAAAAAAAAATTCTTCTTCTTATTTGAAGTCTTAGTGCTGTAATTATGTTTCGTAAATTGGCTTTGCAATTGTATCATCTTTCCATGTGACAACTTTGGAGTTTTCCATTTGATTATTTCATGTATAATAGTGCGTATATAAAGCTGAGGGTAGAATTGTATGAGAAGAAGAAGATTAGAAAACCTTGAACTTTTTATACATGTTTAGATATGAAAGAAATGGTCTAACATTTACACCATACAGAAAAATCTGAGACGTGATGTCACCAAAGAAAGAAACGAGGGAGATGAGTTTGTCACCTCTTAACAAGTAAGCTTGCTCTCGTCATGCTCATACCATGAGATACCAAACACAAGCAGCAAAAACCAAAGAAGTGTGCATAAACCAGTAAAAGCATGATCTTGCTTTTTTCCCCCACAAAACATGACAATTGTTTTGTGAAATTTCACAGGATAAAACTGTGGTTTCAGTATCAGTCCAACGTTTTGTGATAGTTTATAAATTTAGAACGTGTACGTTTTAAAATTACAAATAGTGATAATATAAGATAAAATCTTGTAAGATTCATGTAGTATAATTTAGATACTAATTACTAAAAACGGCTTAATGATTAATAACATATGACTGCGAGTTTCAAATCAACTTACATTGTCTCTCATGTCGTTATTGTAAGCCCACTAAATACAGCGAATTCCAAATATTTTACTTGAAAGAATAAAAAACAATATACAGTACTTATTCTTATTATTTGACTAAAGGTGCCTAGTGCTGTAAGCCTGTAACAATGTTTAATAAATTAACATTGCAATTATCATCTTCCCATGTGACAACTTAGATTTTTTTCATTTGATTATTTCTTGTATAATAGTGGGTAAAACTACGTCTTACCCTTAAGAGTTTGTGTCCGAACAGAGTTTGCCATCTTTTTTTTTTTAATCAACCATACAAATAAATTAAGCTAAACTTTATGATTGGTTATCCAATTTAAAGAAGAAAAGTTCATAACGACAACATCAACAAATCTGGTTCTAACTGTAAATGAACATTCGCCATTCGTTTTTGCAACAAAATTTTGTCATTTAACAAGTCTATTAAATCTACAGGCCTTAATGTTTTACTCGTAGAGTATAAAATGTCTATAGTGTTATGTTATATATTAATGATCCAAAAGTTTCAATTGCATATAAGAAAGTGCCCAATAATATTAGGCAACTAAAAAACTAAAATGAGAAATAGTGAAATACCTTACACATTGGAGCGACCAAGAGAGCTCCATCCCAAAACTCAGGTTTCTTCCTCCTTAGCAACAAAACCACTGCTCCTCCCATTGACTCTCCTAACATAAACCTCATCTTCCTTTTGTTCTCTTCCTTCTCTATTTTAATTTTAGATTCCAGAGAAATTTTACTATACCACATTAGTTCTTAAATTTATCTAATCATGTCAAATAAGTAGATAAATAAAGAACATTCAAGCAACTCATTAATCAGGTCCTTCCATCATGGCACGTTCGACAAAGAAGATTCATATAGATTCACCAATATTTATATAGTGTATTTTTTCATTACAACATTTTGTTGATCACATAAAAATATCAATCCATAAGTTGACTTTTATTATCCAGAAGTAAACGTTACCGCAAATAGTTGTATAGTGTGTTGAGACATCATCAACGAGGTGGTCAAAGTTTGGGATATAAGCGCTAAGCCCATCAGATTTGCCATGTCCTTCATAATCCATTCCATATACACCAAATCCTGCCTTCACAAGCCTCCTCGCTGTACCTAATCCAATCATATATATTCATCTCAAAACGTTAATAATTTTGATATCTTTGTGATAACCAAGAACTTTTGGATTTTAAGTCCATGATCTTTTTGGGCCAGAGAAGGGTATATTAGTCATGAAAGCATATAAATATTCATGGAAATCCTGAAGTGGGTTGGTCTCAACTGTTCATCGTGATGCTGCATTCCATGCCGTATCCATGGCAAAGGAAAACTAATGCCCTTGGCTCTTGGTTTGTTGGTAGCCATTTGCACGTGAACAGCTTAAATCCTCGAGTGTTCTTTATGAAACTCTACATATATGTAAATATATAATCATCAATAAATCATCAGATATTCCTATATACGTATATGTTGTGGTGTTAATACATATTTATACATACCTCGCCGTAATTGATGCCATCTGTTTCACTTGTTTGCTCGCCAAAACCCATTGTTACAATTAGAGAAGAAGTAAGAAACAAAGAAACTTTTAGATTATACTAATCTACGAGATAAGAAACAATGAATTTGAATAACTGTTTTCTCTCTTTTTCTTGGAATTAAGAGTTGTAGAGCTCTTCTTCGTTGTCTGACCCTGACAACTTAACGGACAGCTTTTTTTTTTAATTTCCTTTCACCCCTTCAACTTACTAAATAGTTAAAAAAACACCCCAGCTTCCGTAAGTCCGTAAATCTTTACTGCCATTTATAAAAAAAATACTCCATCCGTTTCAAAAAATATGATGTTTTGAGATTTATTTTTGTTTTTAAAAAATTGATTTTCTATATTATATTTAATATTTTTTTTTTGCAAGACAAATTTTTTGATAAAAAAATATTAAATTAATAAACAAACAAAAAATATTTTAGAAAAGTAAATAATCATTGTTTTTGAGTAACAATTACTAATTAGAAAAAGTTGGTGAAATAATTGCGACTTTTGTTCAATTCTCTAAAACGTTTGGAGTAGGTTTAAGATACCAAACGCCTCGTCGTAGTTAATGTGTGTCTATCTAATATCTTTCAATGTCTCAATCTGGCTATAGTTTTTAGTTAGTGTCTGATGATCATATTTTGCAAAAAGAATAAAAATATTTATGTCGAAATAAAGATACTGAGTGGTTCAATAAATGGAAATTGTTAGAAATAGAGAAAGACATATGAAAAAACGAATTAGAATTAGGACCATATTTTTTTTTTTGAACAGCTAACCATTGATTAAAAGAAATCGCAGATTATAAATAGTCACTAGTGCAAAATCGTCTCTCTACCTCCTCACGAATTAGGACCATATAAAATTTAGATAAACATCAGAATTTGTCAAAAGAAAAGTTGGAGGCTAGTGGTTTGGTTTGACAATGTTAGGCTCCCTAAACATTTTGGAAACCCATCTTTCTTTAGCCCATAATACTTCAAAGATACAGGTTAATGTTAGTTTCCTTCTTAATATAGCTCGACTCGAATCTAAATCTTGAGGCACCTTTTAAAAAAACATACAGTATCTCTTAGTACACCAGTACAAAAGCTACAGAAATTAAGTGATGAATAATATTATTGAAATTTAAAATAGTCATGATATCTGTAGAAATGTTTCTGATTTTTTGTATGGTTTCAAAACTACGGCGTTGAATTTCTATTATATTTATTGACTTTCCAGCCCAAAATCACTAAATAAGGATAATTATGAATACAGAAAAGACTGTGTTATCTTCAAATATGTCTGGTTGATATCTGTTGACATATTTTAAATCTGTAAACTTACGAGAATTTCCGTGAATATAAAAAATTTCACCTTATTTGGCAAGTATCTTTGTATGTAACATATATATACAGATATGGATTTTTTTTTTTGGAGGCAATATTACAGATATGAATATATAAGTACGTAAAGCATGCTATTTGCTCAATACTTATCATGCTTCAACAACCCATCATGCTTATGTTTTACCTCACTCTCTAACCGTCCGTTAGATACGGAGGTTCTATCCTCCAGCCAAAGTATGATATCACGAAACACAATTTCTGAATTTTCAGGAGTTTCCCCATACAGTAAAGCATGCCACATGTTAGGATAAAGCTTAAATGTTTTGTCCGAGCTTGAAGCCACTTCATATAGCAGTTTGCTTACGCTTTTGTCCGTCACTTTATCATCTTCTCCGTGAAGAACAATGAAAGGAATCGATACCTAGTTCAAAAGCCATTCTTAACTAATTAATTATCAAGCTGTGTAAAATGTTTTGCTTTATTATAATATTATTATAACCATAACCATAACTCAAATCAATTAGAACCTCATGAAGGTTCTTCTCGAGATCCAAGCTAACCAACAATAGTTCGTAGGCGGTTTTGAGACGAGGCCGGCCTTTGTAGCAATATTCGTTCTCCCTAACCTGTAAAAATCATAAGAATCATCTCTCTCTCTATATATATAAGTAGTAACAAGATTTACAATATAAGTAAAAATTGGCGTCGTGGATCATAATAAATCACCTGATTTCTGATGTGGGGTTCTTTAATTGCAATATCAATAATATCGTTTCCTGGTACTATTTTCCACGTTGGAATAAACGAGCAAAGCTTTATGAGAATTGTGATCACTACTGGATGTGGCTTTACCTCTTCAGCTAACTGTACATAATAACATTCACTGTGTTATATAGATGGGGAAACAAATAATAATTGTGGACTATTCGTTATTGTTTACAAAGAAAAAACAATGAATATCTTAGTGATAGGTTTCTAATGTTGCTAGATATATTGATTTTTTCTAGCCAAAAAGTATATCTTATAAGAAAATGTATACAGAAATAATTTCGATCATTTGTGTTGTAATTATATATTTAGTTAGGGGTGTATTGGTTGCAAGCTTGTAGCAAGTAGAAAGTAGTTGATGAGATAAGATAAGGGACGGTGATCTCAATATTGCAAGGATATTTATTGCTAATCCAACAAACAGAATATTATTGAAATTTTGTGGTTTATTTCTCACCTGAAGGAATTAATATCAATATTATGCATACACTTTAAAACATGGTTGAAGACATATTATATAACAAGAAAATAATCTGTGGTTTTTCATATCGTTTATATATAAGTACCCTTTTTTGGTCGGCTAACGTCAAGATACCAAATTAATCACTAACTATAAAAGTTGTCAATTTATTTTCAAGTAGCAATTTCTAAACGACAATGGTGAAAAAAAGCAAACACCAAAAGACAAAAGAAAGGATAGAAGAAGAATCATCACAAACCTTACACATGGGTGCGACCAAAACGGCACCGTCCCAAAAATTTGGCTTCTTTCTTGCTAAGAGCAACACAACTGCTCCTCCCATGGATTCTCCAAGTAGGAACCTCATCTTCCCTTTATTCTCTTCTTTCTCTTCAATTCAATAAACCATTTCTTTTTCTTTTTAACAAACCGGCTTCTTTTAGTATATTAATGAAAATCTAAAACATATGATTAAGCTTCTTTTTTCAAAAAGAAATTACCACAAATTGTAGAGTAATGAATAGAGACATCATCAACGAGATCATCAAAGCTACTGATGTAACCACTTAACCCCTCGGATTTTCCGTGACCTTCATAGTCCATTCCATAGACTGCAAAACCGGCCTTGGCTAGCCTCGTCGCTGTGCCTAATTGATCCCATTAGTAATGTGATCAACATTAGTAAATATCTAAATACGACAAGATATATATTTATATATAAAAAAAATCGATAATAGAAAAGGATGAGAGACGAAACTGTTCATGGTGATGCTGGACTCTACAGCGTAGCCATGGCAGAAGAAGAGCATGGCCTTTGGTTCTTGCTTAACCGGTTTCCATACACAAGTGAACAACTTCATGCCTCGTGAGTTCAACACAAAATCCTGAAAGAAAGAATAAAAAATTCGAGATTGTCTACATGAGCTGGGGAAACATATGTAGAGACTAGAGACTAACCTCTTCGTACGTAACCATGATGTTCTGTTTTTTATACAAAGATTTAGATATTTTTCTTGTTTCTTTATAAAAGATTTATGCTGAAAACGAAGAGAGCTGAGTGTTGTCCAATTTATAATAGGAACTGAAAAGAGAAGAGTCAGAGGAATCAAGTGACCCCATAAAACAGGGGAAGCCGATTAAAACGCTGCGTTCCTTGTATATGACGTCAGAAGACTTTGAACAAGTCCAATATTTTATTTTTCTTCGTTAATGAATGGCTTTAGGCGTTGGTGCTTGACCGGTTTAGTTTTCTTTTTCATGCTTGACCGGTTTAGTTTTCTTTTTCATTGGACCAAATGGCAAATACTCCGATTGAGCCATTTAATTAGTGGCATGCCATCATCAACTTGTCTTATCGAATCTTTAACTTCGGGATGGATATGCATGTACTTATGTCTTTGTGTAAACTTATCAACAAATATGTATGTATCATCATCCTATCCTATTTATTAGAGGTAATTGTCATCATCCTACCCATGATTATTACACTTTTCTATCCCATTATTAATTACGATAGCGTCTTCAATTAAAAATTCTTGTTCGAGATGTCACAAGAAAATAAGAAAACAAAAAATCTAATAAGATTTAATCTCAACCGTGTATTGTAATTGTTAATCAACCTACATGCAGAGTGCTTGATGTAAGTTTTAACTTTCTATGTTTAGTCCCTCTATGAGAAAATACAAGATATAAGAAAAGATTATTTTACAATTTGTACGTTGAATTTGCACGTTGTAGTTCTATTAGAGCCTCGGCCCATATGAAATCAAAACTGGGCCACTAATAATGCCCACAGCTAAAGCCGAAATAACGATAACCTAAAGTTGTAAATCTATTAGAGCCTCAGCCCATATGAAATCAAAATTGGGCCACTAATAATGCCCACAGCCAAAGCCCAAATTACGATAACCTAAAATCTGAAAGTCTTAGCCGTCATCGTCTTCATTTTTGTCTAGGGTTTCTAATCTCCTATTAACAGCCCCAAGAGAGTAAGGGGAAGCCAGAGAACTCGAAGACGCAATGGGTAAGCCTCAAATTCTGAAACTTTTCAATCTTTAACATCTAATTTCATCGTTCCTATTTCCTTTGTTTACGTTTGGGGTCCTGAGTTTTGCTTTGTATTGTGAAAATGGAATCTGAACAGCGAGAATCAAGGTCCATGAGCTGAGGGAGAGATCAAAAGCGGATCTTTCGACTCAGTTGAAGGATTTTAAGGCGGAGCTTGCTCTTCTTCGCGTCGCCAAGGTCACTGGAGGTGCTCCCAATAAGCTCTCAAAGATGTATGTGTTTCCTCTTCTCTTACTATAAACACTTTCTATTGATTTTTTTCAATGTGATTGCATTTTTTTTCCCATTTTGAGTGATTTGTATGGCAAGCTTGATGAATTTTCAATCCACATTCTGTAGCATTGCTTATAGTTTAGCTAATGGTAGTGAGATTGTGTATATGTGCTAATCAGTTTTCACTAAAGTATCAATTTTGTTTTTGTTCCTGAAAAAATTATGCATATTTTGCAGAAATATTAGTTACCTTGTCAAATTTTGTAATTTCTGATGCATATTAGCTCTATCCTAGTTCCTGTCAATGTAGGCAATATATAAATAAAGCTAAGTCTAATTGATCACAAATGTGCTCTGTTTTGTGTTGATTTGCAGCAAGGTGGTGAGGAAGTCGATCGCTCAGGTGTTGACAGTGATCTCACAGAAGCAAAAGTCTGCTCTGAGAGAGGCATACAAGAACAAGAAGTTTTTGCCTCTTGATCTTCGCCCCAAGAAGACTAGAGCTATCAGGAGGAGACTCACCAAGCATCAGGTAAACTCCACTCTGCTTCTCATTTGTGATTTCGAAAACGAAACCTTTTAGACGAAAGGAAAGCGAAATGGGCATGCGAAATGTGATATCCCGCACTGTTTACTGTATTATGTTAAGTAGATTCAGTCTGATACTGAGAAATTAACAAGAGTGGGTGTGTGTTTATATACTGATTGAGTATTTGCTGGTTGCTTGGAACAGGCATCGCTGAAGACAGAAAGGGAAAAGAAGAAAGAAATGTACTTTCCAATAAGGAAGTATGCTATTAAGGTTTAAGCTTTTCATTAAATCACATCAATTTGTTGTGTTTTGACATTTTAGCTCTTGCGTGTTTGTCTTTTTTGGGTTCACTGTTAAAGATTTAAAAGCTTCTCTTAATGAAAGATTTGATTCACAAAAGCAGTTTTGTTTATATTATTACTCTTCTGGATTATCCATCTGATTCTCCATTTCTCTGTCTACACCTTCAATCAACAAACCCAGTTATTAGTGAATTCTCAGTTTTGTATCTACTTTTAAACCTCCACACTGCTGGTGAATCTTTAGGAGTATCAAAGCTTTGAAGAATTGTTGCACCAAAATGTGTCACAAGTCTCACAATAGTTCGTGGTTTTAGTTTAAGTAATTTACTAATTTGTATGCATATAGTCAAATCATGAATCTGAATTTTTGTTTATAAAACTATATTATTATAATTTATCTTTTAAAAAAAAAAGACAATTTGAGAAATTTGACTTTGCAATTTCTTGTCTAATAGGCAAGAGCTGACTTTAGCAGAATCTGTTCAGCTAATTGTTTTCACACCTTCTCTATTCATTTCCGTTTTCTTGAAGTTCATCTGGTTCCTTTTAACTGTCCTTAATTAAAACCAAATCATATAATAGTATTGAACTTTCTTCGACATTATATAATAAACAAAATCAAATTATTTATCAAATATTTTGCTAAACTTAATTAATCGTTTCAGGCCAATTTCCTATGTAAACTCTGTGAATTCGGGTGTGCCTACCTTACCATTTACCAAACTAGCTTTTCCGAAACACTTGACTTTGTCACCAACTTCTATATTTTAATAAGATATTAAACGTCAATCAATCAAAACAATCCTTAAAATATGTCTATAGATCAGTGGAATTTCGAATATCTTGCCAAGTCAAAAGATTCAAAGCCACTACTATATTCTTCTATCTAAAGACGATGAGATTTTAAGTATTAAGAACGAAATGACATAAGAAACAAGACAAAAAAAAATTCTACTGTATTTGGTCAATGTACTGAACATTAAATCATTTACTTTTATTATTAAGCCAACATGAGACATTATCACTTATATAAAATCGTATTGAACATTAAAACTTACACGAATAGAGAAAGCCAGTCAAAGGTTTGTATTGGTCATTGGTATCACTCAAACAAACCATCTCTTCCATATAACCTTAAATCGACTTTTCCAGAAACAATGAAGAGAATCTAAGCTAAGTGACTCATCTTTCCTACATATTCAGGAAAAAAAAGGCAGAGCAACAAGTAGTAGAAACCTCAACAATGGCCAAAAAGGCAAAGTCTGTTCTTTTCTCTTCTCCTAAATCACTCCTTTCTTCTCTTTCTTTCACTTCTCTCCCGGCTTCTCCTATCAACAAGACCTTTTCTCAGTCGATGATGGAGGAAACAGTCGTAGCCGCGGAATCAATCATCAAGAAATGGGATCCGAACTCAGCCTCCTACACAAAGATCATCTCTCTGTTCAGTCACAGCAGAAAAGAGGCCAAAGAGTTCATCAGATGCGTCCGTGACTTACGCAGAGCCATGCACGTTCTTGTCTCTCAACAAAACTCTCAATCCGCCAAGCTCGCGCTTGCACAGAGCCTGATGCAAATCTGTATGTCCAGGCTCGAGAAGGAGTTCTTCCAGATACTTTCTTCTAACCGAGACCAGCTTGATCCTGAATCAGTCTCTGCTCATTCCTCAATTTCAAGCAACTCAGAATTCGAAGATGTTATGCAATCTGATGATGACGACGACGAAGAAGATGAGCTGAAGAAGGCGGGTGAGTCGATCACTCAGGTCGAGAAAGCCTCGGCTCTGGTGATGTCGGACTTAAAGATCATAGCAGAGACTATGATCAGCTGTGGTTATGGCAAAGAGTGCATAAAGAGCTACAAGCTGATCAGAAAGTCGATTGTTGATGAAGGTCTACACTTGCTCGGGGTCGAAAAGTGCAAGATCTCACGGTTCAGCAGAACGGATTGGGGAGTGCTCGAGCCTATGATCAAGAACTGGATCAAAGCTGCAAAGATTGGAGTCACAACACTCTTCCGAGGAGAGAAGCTTCTCTGTGATCACGTCTTCTCTGCTTCGAGCACGTTAAGAGAGTCTTGCTTTTACGAGATAGCCAACGAAGCAGGACTCAGTCTTTTCAGTTTACCGGAGCTCGTCGCCAGCAAGGAGAAGAAGCCACAGCCCGAGAGGATCTTCAAGCTGATGGATCTCTATGCGGCAATCTCTGAGCTTTGGCCAGACATAGAACTGATATTCCACTTTGATTCAGTAGCTGCTGTCAAAACTCTGGCGCTCTCGTCGATGAAGAGACTCAAGGACTCAATCCACACTTGTCTCACTGAATTCGAGTCGACGATACAGAGGGATTCTTCGAAAGCACTTACTCCAGGAGGAGGGATTCACAAGCTGACTCGGACAACGATGAGTTTCATATCATCGCTGTCTGAATACAGCCGTGTGTTGTCCGAGATCCTCGCAGAGCATCCGCTTCAGAGAAACACACGTCTGCTAGAAACTTATTTCACGGCTCCGATCTTGGAAGACGAACACACCAACAACCACGCGATCTCTGTCCATCTAGCTTGGCTCGTCCTTGTTTTCCTCTGCAAACTAGACATCAAAGCAGAGAGTTACAAGGATGTCTCTCTCTCTTACCTCTTCCTCGTCAACAACACTCAGTTCGTGGTTGACACGGTTCGTTCAACTCACCTCAGGAACCTCCTCGGAGACGACTGGCTCACCAAACACGAAGCGAAACTCAGAAGCTACGCTGCAAACTACGAGATCGCAGCTTGGACCAATGTTTTCTTAACTTTACCGGCAAAAACCAACACTACAGTATCACCGGAGGAGGCTAAAACACATTTCAGGAGATTTCACTCTGCGTTCGAAGAAGCGTACATGAAACAGTCGTCGTGTGTTATTCTGGATGCGAAACTTAGGGACGAGTTTAAGGTTTCCATAGCAAAGAAACTTGTACCTGAATACAGAGAGTTTTACGAGAAGTACTCGCCAACGCTGAGACAGGAGAGGAACATAGAGATGCTGGTGAGGTTTAAGCCTGATAACTTGGGGAACTATCTCTCAGATCTGTTCCATGGAACACCAATACTTAGTGGCTCTTCTTCTTCTTCTTCTTACATGTCTTCTTCATCTTGTATCTCACTTGGATGTGTAAGAAACTAAAAAAGTTCACATTTAGAGCATTGTCTGAATAGCATATTCACTTAAATGGATGTGAAATATCAAAAAATTGTACGCCCTTGTATATCAAAAATCATCGTAAGACAATGCAAAAACAAATACAATTATGGCATTGGGCCTAAACTCAAGCGAATATATTCAAAAACGCATATAATGTATTTTCCTGACACTAGAGAAATTCGACCGTCATAACATATCAGAATTAGGGTTTTGCTCTCTGTCTCGACGATTACACAATGTCTTCCAGAGTTAGAGCAGCAAAGAAGCAATCGTCAAAAGGGTTATCTCTGGTGACGTCGCTTCCCGAAGACGTCATCGTTGACATCTTAGCGCGTGTACCGAGATGCGACTATCCAACTATCTCCCTCGTCTCAAAGCACTTCCGAGCACTTGTTGCGTCCCCTGAGTTATACGCGAGGCGATCTTTGTTGGGCTGAACCGAACACTGTCTCTATGTTGCCTGCTCCAGCAGCGGCAATGTTGTTGACCGTTTGTTTATTCTCCGCCGGAAAACTAACGGCAACAGCAGCCGCCTGGTCCTTATCCCTTTGCTTTCTTCTCTGCGTTGCTTTGGAGGCTATGTCACAGTGGGCTCGATGATATATGTGTTTGGTGGGATTCACAATGACAATTCGACGCCGTGGGCGTTGACCATCGACTGTAGATCTCACACGGTGCAACCTCTCACCAGCATGCCTGTGCACATGTATAACCTAACGGCTAACATCATCGATGGGAGAATCTACGTAATTGGAATTCTCGATTATATTCACAGGAAGAAGATGATGGTGGTGTTCAATACAGAAACACAAAAGTGGGAGGAGCCTGCGATGGTAACGCCAGACATTGAGCTAGGTAACACGCATCGTGGTTGTGTGGTGATGGCTGGTAAGCTGTACACGAGAAATTATCAGACTAGCTTTGTTTACGATCCAAAGGAAAATAAATGGGAAACGGACGAGATGCTGAGTTCAAAGAATTGGTACCATGCGTGTGTGGTTGATGACGTATTGTACTACTACGATTGTGATGACAAGTGTTTAAGAAGGTATGATCCAAGGCAGAGGTGTTGGGGAGTCGTGAAAGGTGTGGAGAAATTGTTGGCTATGACAAGAGATACATGGTGGTCAAGGACTGTGAGTTACGGTGGGAGTTTGGCTGTGTTTTTTAATTGTAATTCAGGAGAGTTTTGGTGTGCGGAGATTTCACTGGAAAGACGTCAAGGAGGAGAGATTTCAGGTAAAGTTGAGTGGTGTGATCAGCTTATATTTCCTGAGAAGCTTTTCTTGACGAAACCTCTAGCTGTTACGGTTTGATGCAAGAACTCTCCTTCATATATATACAACTTGTGTGCTTGCTTTTTCTTTAGCTGTTATGGTTTGATGCAAGAACTCTCCATCGTATGACTTGTGATTTGTTTTTTCTTTTGCTGTTATTGTTTGATGAAAGATCCATCCCTCCTTCATATGACTTGTAAATGGCTTACTTGGAAGAAAAGATAAGTCGTCATTGCTTCCACCATTCTTATTGCCATAAGTTTCTTAATTCTGGATTCTTGGAGTCGTAAACAAAACAAAAAAATTGAAAACTTTGCATGCATCTATGGAAGATATATAGTCAAGATTTAGGATCTTCCACAAATGAGGCAGGTATATTATCAGCTGAGTAAACCTAAAGCAGCTCAAAAGAAGAAGATGTTAAACATGCTCACATAAGTTCTACTCTCCCAGGAGGAATGTAAACTGAGATCGCCATGTAACAGAGCAACTACCTTCAACATTTGACATTGATAAAATCATCACTATCTCATGTTAAGAAGTAGACTAAAGTTTATTATGAAGAGGCTAGATGTCTGAAAGTTTGAAACTGGCAAGGTTGGTGTTCTTCTTAAAACCGCCAATGTTTTCCCTCGTTACATTTTTCTTAAAAATGTCTTAAAACCATCAGTATTTCTTATATTTAATTTCGTATGATTGTTAAAGTTGAATGTAACGAAAAAAGTAAGTTAGATACTTATATGTACGAATGTGACATTGATAATGTTTTGCAAACAATAAAATAAAGAGACAAGGTTTGTCATCGTGACCACAAATGTTACATTCAATCAAGGCATTGGGCTAAACTCAAGCGAATATATTCATAAACGCATAATGTATTTACTGACATTTTATTTTTCTTTTAGAGAATTCATGGATGTTTAGAACATACTACAATTTCAGAAAATTAAGAAAACAACAGAAACCAAATTTCCTCATTAATATAGTATATCGTGGAGATGCCACTTAAAAGTGGTGCAATTAATCCCCGGAATCAAGTAAAATGTCTGGAACATTATCGTAAATGACAATGGGATGTGACTTTGCCAATAATCAAATAAAATATTTCAAATAATAATTCCTTATCCTATTATATTGTCTAGTAGTTACTAATATCATTTAATATATTTATTTATCAGTTAAATTGAAGATCAAGAAATTAATTCCTAAATAATCTATTTATTGATAGACATTGATATCTCCTTTATATAAAAATGATAGATTTATAGGCTTGTAAGAGCTGCCACATCAGCAAAAATAATTAACCAATGATAGATTTTAAAACTGCTATGTCATCTTTTCCAACCAACAATTTAAAATCATTTCATTAAATAAATTATTAATCAAATTTTTTTCAAGTTTTACCTACAAAAAAACTTTTATAATTCATAAATTCTCAAAAAAACTGAAAATGAATTACACTAAAACTCAATTATAAAGTTTAAGCAAAAGCTTATTTTATGAAGTCACCGTCTTTTCGGTTTCCAATCATCTCGCCTCTAACTCACAAGAAACGGAATCAGCCATCACTAAACACAAAATTTACTGAAAACGAATTACATCAGCAAAAATAATCAGAAAAATAATCAGCCAATGGTAGATTCCAAAACTGCTATGTCATCTTCTTCAACCAGTAACTTAAAATCATTTCATTAAATAATTTATTAATCAAAACTTCTTCAAATTCTGACCACAAAAAAACATCCACAATTACTAAATTCTAAAAAAAAAATGAAGCCCAAAAATAAACTAAAAACGAATTACACTGAAACTCAATTATAAAGCTCAAACAAAAACTCATTTTGTGGAGTTATCGTCTTCTAGATTTCCAATATTCTCGTCTCTAACTCACCAAAAACAGAATCAGCCGTTACTAAACACAAACTTTACTCTTTAATTAATGACAACCAAACTGGCAATAAACAATAAAGCTTATATAAGTGGACCACAAATAAGTGAAATCCAAAAAACATAGCAATGAGGATGTCAAAAAAAAAAAAAAGTGATGAGCCATATAGGGTATAAATAATACACAGCTCTAAGCAGCATAAAAATACAATCTCACAACTGTATTGCATTTATATTTATAATGTGAGTCGAGCAAAAATGAGTCTTAGTCATAGTAATGCTGGAGCTGGAGAACGACTTTCTCGCCAAAAGTAAAACTTCAGGAGTGACTTGGTATCTTTCTTCTAGAGAAAAGTACTTTAAACAATTGTATCTATTTGATCTTATAACAGATCTCAAGTTTCTAAAACTGATATAGAATTTCATATTGTTTGTTGTAATCAGACATTGTAGAGAAACCGACGTTAAAGCCTAACTAAACAACCGGTAATTGAAGAAAGTTATTCACCGTTTCTTAATTCTCATTTGCAAAAGTTCATAAAACATAAAACTGAAAACTTAAAAAAAAATATATATGGCTATAAAGTTCCACACTATTCACCAATATTGGCAAATGATCGAGCTAGCTAAACTATCAAACAAATAGTTTATCAATTAATAAAGAACTCATATAATAAAGAAGTTTATTATTAATTACCATTTGGTTTCTTATAAAATATCTATGTACACACTAAATCTTTAAAAATTGATAAGTAGAGAAATGCATATTATATAAAAATTAAAAATAAGATCCTAACATACAATATGAAACAAAAATGGAGTAAAGATTAAGTTTTCCTTTTAAAAGCATCAAGCAAAAGAGAAGATTATGCAAAAAGTTTATGAAAGTATAAAATAATACTCATGGTGTTCACTAAAGAAATGACATTATAATGTCAGATGTCCAAATTTAGACAATAGATTTCTAATATAATATATAGTTCATGTAGATACTATTCACATAAATAAAAAATATAACAAATCAAATTATTATACAAAAATGGTTAAATTTTACCCTTCATATTTGCAAAAACATGCATTAACTCTTAAAATAAGTCCAACTAAATCATAAGATACATTAATCTACCTTCAAATTATTATACAAAAATTTCGTTCATCTTTATATATATATATATATACATATATTCCTTTTATATTTACTTTACTCGACTATATCTAAGAATCAAATGCAAATATATTATTCTATAATTTATCATAATATTAAACACAAAATTAACTGACAACCTTCTATAAAACTACAATATAATTATACAATCCACGCGTAGCATGGACAAAACACTAATTAATCATAAAAAAAATTGAAAGAGAAATTTAGATTTTTTTCTCCATCTATAAATACATATGTTTAGTCTATTGCAAAGACATGACAATCACAATAACATAACACACTAAATATCAGTTTACAGATAAAGGAAGAAAAATTTAAACTCTTATTTTATAGATCAGTCTTTTCATCTTTCGCAACAGTAGTTGGATATATTCTAATATCTTTATAATTTTGTTATATATAGTTTATGTAATTTATGTTTTGTATATGGTATAAGAGACAAGTTTCAATTTTCTTTTAGTGATTCAATTCATAGATCTATTATTCTTAATTGGTTAATTTATAACCATGTTCTGATGATGTAAAACATAAATTACATGAACTTTATATAAGATTTTTAAACACAGCACATAATAGAATTATGAGTAAATTTTTCAAATTAACTCCAACTCTTATTGCAAAAGATGAAAAAAACTGATCCCTAAAATAGGAGCTTAGGTTTCTCTCCCTTTATTTATAAGTTGATCTTTGTTATTGTGATGAATAAGAGAGAATCTAAATCCCTCTTTCAATTTTCTTTAAATATATCTCAACTTTTCAATCAAAATAGAGATTGTTTTGAATTAACTCATTTGATTTCATTTTAATTAGTCAACAAATATATTAATTCAATAAAAAACTGATAACTATTAAATTACATAATAAGACAAGGAAAAATATTGAACAACCTTTGGGCAAATATGTTACGTTCCACGCTATATATGTTACAAATAACTATGGAAAAATGATAAACTCGCTATAAAGTACAAACAATCTACATGATATAAGCAAACATTGATTTACTACCGTGTCTATATATTTAAAATTTTGCGTGTTATCAAATGTATCATACGGGTCACGACATAATCATATTGTTGATCATATTTGGTTTAGTGTTAATGCAAATTATTTATTGCTTGAGTAATCAATAAGACATCAAATATATCAAATACGTGGGCTTCTACCAAGATTAGTGTCTCTCATCGTCGTCCTTGTCCAAGTTAAAAGAAATACAAATACACATATCGAAACACAATAAGGAAAATAATCATCAAATAGGTTATTAAACCAATACTTTATGTATATATTTTTTTTGAATATAACTTTATGTATATTATACTTTGTTTTATTCTAAAACTTTGTCTCCCTATTCGTTCTTTAAAAAATTTAAGCTTTATTCTCCATTAGTGAAGATGATGAACCCGTTAACTTTCTAAAGCCAATCAAATATAATTCTTCAAAAGAATATGGAATACATTCAAACCCAGTGTTTATTACAAAAATTTTGATCCACCGTATATTGAGTTCAAGTTTTTAAGTGGTGGTCCATTGAAGAAACTATTATGTCCGAATATATCTGAATTTATAAATGGTACTCATTCAAACTGATAGGAGTATTTCAGAAACAAACATACTCTTTATTTTATTCATATAATGTAAGTAAAATAAAAACTCCATTTGGTCCACAATCCACCGTTGTACGCTCTTTACCAAATCAAAAACCTAACACTGACTCTCTCTTGCATATATAAAAACAAACCTCTCCAACTCTTAATTCATATCTCTAATCACGGAAACATAATAAACAAAGAAGAAACATTAACAAATGGCAGCTAATCTAGAGCGATGCGACAGTGATGTAGAAGAAGATTACATAGACATGGAAGTAACTTCTTTCGCAAACCTTGTACGCAAAACTCTCATCAACAACAACAACAACCCTCGAGAGTTCGAGTTCCAAATGTCTCATCTTTGTCCTCTCGAGATAGACACAACCACTTCTCCCGCAGACGAGCTCTTCTACAAAGGCAAGCTTCTCCCTCTTCACCTGCCTCCACGTCTCCAAATGGTCCAGAAGCTTCTAGAAGATTACACCTTTGACGACGAATTCTACAGCACGCCCTTAGCCACTGGAACGGTTACTACTCCGGTGACGAGCAACACTCCGTTTGAGTCTTGCACAGCCTCTCCGGCAGAGTCTTGTCAAGTGAGTAGAGAGCTTAACCCCGCAGACTATTTCCTTGAATATTCAGATTCATTGGAGGATGATGAGAAGAAGAAATCTTGGGGCAAGAAACTGAGATTGATCAAGCACTTGAGTTTTGGAACGAAGATTAAAGCTTCGAGAGCTTACTTAAGATCCTTCTTTGGAAAATCAAGCTGTTCTGATGAGTCAAGAGTTGCTGACGAAGGATCGATTTTGAGGTATTCGCGAGTGCAGGCTCCTTTTGGAGAAATCAAAACAGAGAGACCTAAAAAACAGAGTAATAGTTCTATTTGCCGCAGCCATAGGAGGTCGTTTTCGGTTTCTATGAGGAGACAACCTGCGAAGATTTCCAACAACAAATCATCGACTGGCTTAGGGTTTCGTCCGCTGCAGTTTTTGAAGAGTTCGAGCTCAGAGATTGAGAATTCCATTCAAGGAGCTATCTTGCATTGCAAGCAATCTCAGCAACAAAAGCAGAAGCAGTATACTGTGAATGAGGTCGGATTCTGTTCGTTGTCAGCTTCAAAAATCGCAGCGACGGATGATCAAGAACGGGCTCAGCTGTTTAGGGGTTAACTAAGTAGTTAAATTGGACATGAAAATCGATGAGAAGAAAATAAGAGTTGAGTGAGAGTGAGAGCACTAGAGATTAAATTGCTTCTTCTTTGCTTTTCTATGATATTTCATGAATCCTACTGCCATTTTCGTGTCCAAAAAAGGATATAATGAAAATCGTTTTTTAGATATAACTCAAATCACTTGTGATTTAATGTTTTTAGATTTATTTTACGATTAATGTATACGAAAAACGGATTATCTCTATTTTTAAATATATTTTGAACGAAAAACATTGCAGTCACTATATTAAAATCACTACTTACTTAGCAAAAACATAAAAATCCTTAAAAAGACAAAAGAGAAAATATATACTAACTTATATGGGAGATTGATTGAGAGACAGAAATGATGATTCCCTAAACACGAGTGTTCAAAGTCAGACCGTCGTTATCACCATAAAAAGGTTCACTTCTTAAAGTTTAAAAGGAGGATATATATCGGGAAACATGGATCCATGCTTTCAGAAAGCTGATCGCTACTTCGCTCTAAATTTTAAATAAATAAGTGTGATTTGTGTAAACAAACAATTTATATCTCAATGGAGAAATTATGCCTACGTCACTCACTACGTGTATAAAGGCATCATTACAAGACAGACGTACGCGGCAACATATGGGTTAGGTCGAGTTCCGAAGCCTAATTATCCTCTTTACTAATGTTAATTAGTTTCTTTCATAGCGTCCTCTTTATATGTTGAGCTCTATTCACTTTTATACATACTCAATAATCTGTCAAATGGTAATCAGGCTTCCTCTTAATTCTTGATATGGATAATTAGGAATTTTTTGAACTTCTGATGTGTTTTATCTACATATTATGTTGCATTTTTTTTAATACACACTACGTATTTCCTTCAAGTAAAGGAAGCAAGATGTAATGAGAATATCAAGTTTAGAAATATCGTTTTTCAACTTGATTTTCAGTGTTCTGGCATATGTGTTGAGATTGCATGCATGGGTTCATGATACATCAGAGACAACATATGGATGGAACATAGTATCAAAATTTGAGCGCTGATGTAATAAGAAAGCTTTCGCAACATGTTATAGAGTGAATTTCACAACAATGGATACATAAATGAAACTGACCAAATTATCTTCACAAGAGCTTACAAACAAAACTAGATTGTTGTTTACGAAATTGTAGATTCAGATGGAAATTCTCAACCATACAAGACACAGAACAACCAAAACAATAAATTCAATCTACAAATTTCTGAAACATTTTGATTTGAATACGGTAGCTAGCAAGCAAATATTAATGAGGTTATAGGAGAGAAGAATATATAATAAACAGGAACAGACGTACCCAGAAGTGAAAGTATGTGGTTCTCGTACAATGTAAGTCGCAATGAGAGGCCCCTCCCTGCCTTAAGGCAGATAAAGCATGTGGTTTAAGCTGCAATTTTATTTTGTAATTTAGAAGTCACACTTAGAAATGTGATAACATAAGTAAGAGTAGTGTATTAATTCCATTTTTATTGTCACTAATTCACACAGTTCAATTAATATTGTGATTTGTATTATATTTTTGAATATTTGTGTTTTTTCACTTCATAATTGGTTTCATGTTAGATGGTTTTTAATTTTTTTTTCTTATTTTTATCATTTAATCATTAACAAATATTTTTCAATAATATAATAATATTAAAATTAAATATATAGGCTACTTAAACCTTTTCATTTTACTATTTTATATTTTTTCATAATGTTTTACACAATGGTAATATAAATTGTGTTAGTATTTTTAGTTGTTATGAAAAACCATAGTAATATAATGTTTTCATTTATATAACTTGAAATACTTGAATAATTAAGTTGATTCATTTTTTTATAAGTTAAAAGTATATGATTGTGAAATTAAATATAAACAAAAATCATAAAGAAAATTAGATAATATAGTAGAAATATTTATTCTAGATTAATATATAGAAAAAATATAAGGCCCCAAAATTTTAATTTGCTTGAAGCCTCTCAGTTATTAGGGACGGCACTGCGCAATGAATTAACTGCACAACAACTCCCTTGAGGCAAAGACCTTATGCAGATTTCTAACTTGTATGTACCTACAGGGCAAACATTACATGTGAATCCAATGTCCAGCTTAGAAAAACATTAGTTCCAAAGGATTTTTTTCTTTGATCAGATGTTTTATGAAGATACCTTCCATCAAGCTCTTGTTGCCTCTTTTCCAAGCTTATCGATTCAGTAACTGGATCGAAAGGCTCACCCAGGGTAACCTTTATATCTTCTGGGAGCATACTAGTTTTGAGATCTGGAATGCGATATTGGATGTTTCTTTTCTTCCACCCAAAGCACTTACTAAATGAAGTTCCATGGGTGCCTCGAGAACAAATCTCCGTCTGCTCGCAAAGCAATAGACGAAAGTTAAGGAAAATTGTCATATTTGTTGAAAAGAGTTGGGGTGAAAGATTCTTTACTTGGCATCTTCAAAAACATTCGCCAATAGCAATCACAAGTCGCTGCTCCATCTCTCCAAATGCTTGTTTGATCATCTTCTCAGTCTTGGACTCTGCAATGGCGCTGCATTTTTCTTCTATGGCAAGCAAGATAGCTTGCTTCACATTACTGATTTGGTTGCTCACATCACTCATGTTCTTGTTGCTACTTTTTCGAATCCCAGCGACTTGTTTCTTGACACAAAATTCTCTTTCATTTCATCAATCTCCTTTTTAATGTCCTGCAAAAAAAGAAGCCTAATTGTTGATACAATGCTTGATGTGATATTGTGACCACCAAGCACAAAGTTAGAAAAACAACATACCATGATCATCTGCTTCTCTTGTGACACAACTTTTTCTTTGATTTCATCACTCCTTTTTAATGTCCTGCAAACAAAAAAACCTAACTGTTGATACAATGCTTGATGTGACATTGTGACCACCAAGGACCATGTTAGAAAAACAATGTACCATGATATTTTCGTTGTCCTTCCTCTCCTTTCTTTGGAGATAACACTTAGAGGAGTGTTCTTTATAGGTGTCAAAGCCTTGTTGATCTTTCGTTTTCGCTGCTTTAAATAGATCAACAATAAATTGTTCATCGAGCACTCTCGTTGCAACACGCGTTGCAACTATTACTTCTTCCATTGTAAAGTATTGTCTACGGCTTGGGATCATTTTGAGTAATATTCCTTGCCTATACTCATGATACTTCAAATTTGCACAACGTTTGTTCAATTATTAAAAGGTTAGATGAACATATGGAACCAATATTTGTAAACTTTTAGTTAATGATCAATAATCATAGATATGGAAAGACGAAATGCACAGAGTAATCTAACAAAGAACCATTCGTTATCTTGTGATATGATATATTTGATCACCTAACAAATACATACTTTATCAAGAAAATGATTATCCATAATATACTTCACTCTTTTAAAAGAAACTTCATAGACATCCACTGTCATTCCAATAAAAGTAATAAGCTAAGTTTCTTACCATTCTTGTCATTCATCTCCTGTATTTTGCGGGAGTATTCATGGTAGTCGCAAAAGCCTTCTTGATTTTTCACTAATCCAAATAGCTTCATAATATAATCCAAATAGCATATAAATATACATGAAAATTCTGAAGTGGGTTGATCTCAACTGTTCATCGTGATGCTGCATTCCATGCCGTATCCATGGCAAAGAAAAACTAATGCCCTTGGCTCTTGGTTTGTTGGTAGCCATTTGAACGTGAACAGCTTAAATCCTCGAGTGTTCTTTATAAAACTCTGTATATATGTAAATATATAATCATCAATAAATCATCAGATATTCCTATATACGTATATGTTGTGGTGTTAATACATATTTATACATACCTCACCGTAATTGATGCCATCTGTTTCACTTGTCTGCTCATCAAAACTCAGTGTTTATTATAATTTTTTTTTGATCCACCTTATATTGAGTTCAAGTTTTTAAGTGGTGGTCCACTGAAGAAACTAAGATGTGGTCCATTGAAGAAACTAATATGTCTGAATATATCTGAATTTATAAATGGTACTCAGTCAGACTGATGGAGTATTTCAAAAACAAATAATATACTCTTTATTTTATTTCTATCTTCTTCTTTTTTTTTAAATCATATAATGTAAGTAAAATAAAAACACAATTTGGTCCACACTCCACCGTTGTAGGCTCTTTACCAAATCAAAAACCTAACACTGATACACAAAGAAGAAACATTAACAAATGGCAGCTAATCTAGAGCGATGCGACAGTGAGGTAGAAGAAGACTACATTGACATGGAAGTAACTTCTTTCACAAACCTTGTACGCAAAACTCTCATCAACAACAACCCTCGAGAGTTCGAGTTCCAAATGTCTCATCTTTGTCCTCTCGAGACAGACACAACCACTTCTCCCGCAGACGAGCTCTTCTACAAAGGCAAGCTTCTCCCTCTTCACCTGCCTCCACGTCTCCAAATGGTCCAGAAGCTTCTAGAAGATTACACCTTTGACGACGAATTCTACAGCATGGCCTTAGCCACCGGAATGGTTACTACTCTGGTGACGAGCAACACTCCGTTCGAGTCTTGCACCGTAGTCTTGTCAAGTGAGTAGAGAGAGCTTAACCCCGCAGACTATTTCCTTGAATATTCAGATTCATTGGAGGATGATGAGAAGAAGAAATATTGGCGCAAGAAACTGAGATTGATCAAGCACTTGAGTTTTGGAACGAAGATTAAAGCTTCGAGAGCTTACTTAAGATCCTTCTTTGGAAAATCAAGCTGTTCAGATGAGTCAAGAGTTTCTGACGAAGGATCTATTTTGAGATATTCGCGAATGCAGCCTCCTTTTGGAGAAATCAAAACAGAGAGACCTAAAAAACAGAGTAATAGTTCTATTTGCCCGAGCCATAGGACATCGTTTTCGGTTTCTATGAGGAGATAACCTGCGAAGAGTTCCAACAACAAATCAGAGACTAGCTTAGGGTTTCGGCCGTTGCAGTTTTTGAAGAGTTCGAGCTCAGAGATTGAGAATTCTATTCAAGGAGCTATCTTGCATTGCAAGCAATCTCAGCAACAAAAGCAGAAGAAGTGTACTGTAAATGAGGTCGGATTCTGTTCGTTGTCAGCTTCAAAAATCGCAGCGACGGATGATCAAGAACGGGCTCAGCTGTTTAGGGGTTAACTAAGTACTTAAACTGGACATGAAGATGATGAGAAGAAAATAAGAGTTGAGTGAGAGTGAGAGAACTAGTGATAAATTGCCTCTTCTTTGCTGTTCTATGAGATTTCATGAATCATACTGCCATTTTCGTGTCCAAAAAGGATATAATGAAAATCGTTTTTTAGATATTAGGTGTTTTTCGCACAAGTGAGATTTAATTATTATTTTTTGTGATATATGGTAGTTAATTTTTTTTAGTAAACTAAATATTTTTATCATATAAATTTAAATTTAGAATTCTAGATTTAAAACAAAAATCAAAAATTAATTAAAAATTTGATTATATTAATTTGTTGATTTTATTAAAGGTAAATAAGGTTTTTTATATAGGAGACAAAAACTAATCAACCATTATAACTCTCAAGCACAACTCAACTTATTTGCCAATTAATAATATGATAATTCAAATCATTTATAGTTTAATATTTTTATATTTATTTTAAAATTAATGTCTACGAAAAATAGATTATCTTTTTTTTAAGATCATTTTTAATCTATTTTGCTATTTTTTCCTCTAAAATCGAGAAATTCTAAAAAAAAAATATATTTCTCTATTTTAGAGGAATGCCTCTATTTTAGAGGAAAATATAAAGATATTTATTTTTTCTTCTATATTAGAAGAAAAAATAGTATTTTTATTTTTTTCTCTAAAATAAAAATAGATTGGAGAACAAAAATGACACCTCTATTTTTTTTTCTAAAAGTAAAGGGAAAAATAGCAATAGATTGAAAATGCTCTTAAATATATTTTGAACTAAAAACACTGCAGTCACTATATTAAAATCACTACTTATTTAGCAAAAACATAAAAATCCTTAAAAAAACAAAAGATAAAATATATAACTTATATGGGAGATTGATTGAGAGACAGAAATGATGATTCCCTAAACACGAGTGTTCAAAGTCAGACCGTCGTTATCACCATAAAAGGGTTCACTTCTTAAAGTTTAAAAGGAGGATATATATCGGGAAACATGGATCCATGCTTTCAGAAAGCTGATCGCTACTTCGCTCCAAATTTTAAATAAACAAGTGTGATTTGTGTAAACAAACAATTTATATCTCAATGGAGAAATTATGTCTACGTCACTACGTGTATAAAGGCATCATTACAAGACATGATGACGTACGCAGCAACATAGGGGTTAGGTCGAGTTCCGAAGCCTAATTATCCCCTTTACTAATGTTAAGTTTCTTTCCTAGCGTCCCCTTTTTATGTTGATCTCTCTATTCACTTTTATACATACTCAACAGAACGGTGCCTATATATTTGTATGACCTAAACAAAATAAAATGTGAAGTTTAATGCTTAAGTATGCAAAATTTTAAGAATTATGATTTATAAAAAATATTATAAAAATACTTCAAAACAAACAACTTTACTATATATAAAACTATGATTTGTGAAATGTGACACTTTAAATATAAAATTGTTAAGTAAGTATCAACAAAAATAAATTAGATAAAAGCTGACAAACAAATAAAAAGTTATTAAAAAATAAGATCTAATGAGGTGAAAGTTCAGTATAAAAAATTTGTTAATGATTTTTTTAAATAAAACATAGTTGAACTTTTGTTTCTTTGTTGGCCATTTACAAGAAAAAAAAATTATACCATATAATTTTTTTTTGTAAATTATACCCCTTAAATTTTATATGAAATTAAATACTCTACACCAATGTTTCTAATTTCATTGAGTAGCCATGGCCCTGGCTGTAATATGTCATATGGCAGTTGATAATTTTACAACAATTTGGTAATAACCTACGATTTTGTTTTCTTTATTTTAACGTGTGGTATAAGGTAATCTTATATTTTCTTATAAACAGTAAGAAAATATAAAATTACTTAGTGGCTTCTTACTGTTTATAAGAAAATATAAGATTACCTTATACAACACGTTAAAATAAAGGAAAAAAAATCGTTGAGGCAAAATACTTCTTATAAAAGGTTGAGGCAAAATATTTCTTATAAAAAATTGAGGCAAACTATTTATTTTAATTTTGCCTCAACTTTTTAATAGCCTTGGCACGGCACTGCTTGGAATATCATATTTCTCTAGTATTAAAACCGTCATGCTGTTTATATATATTAATCATTCTTTAGCCAATTGAATTTTAGCCAATTAAAGAAAATAAAAAAAAATATAAGATTACGTTGAAATAAAGGAAACGAAATCGTAGGTTATTACCAAATTGTTGTAAAATTATCAACTTATTAGCTTAAAAAGGTTTGGTTCCAAGAATCCATCCCCATCACTAAAACCAGAGCCAAACATGGCTGACATTGAAAAAGAGTATAGACAACTTGTTGAAGTGGGGGTAATGTTAAAATCAACTCTATTGCTTTTCTATATGAAACGGGTTAAAGCGCTAACCAACTCGTCGGTGTAAATTTAGGTGCTTTATGCCAATGAACTAGACACCACAGCGTTTGGCAGTGGATTTCCCTTGTCTGGACTGGACCATCTGTTCTTGCAACTACAAAACATCAGGTTGGAATCAGAACAACACAGCTAAGCATCCTGCGAATCAATTTTGATTTTTGCAATCTAATTTTGCTTGTATAGTCTCAGAATTGTCTCCTGGAATATCTGTTGTTGAACAGAAATCTGAAAAGGAGAGACTGTACTTGATCTGCTATTTGCATTTGAGCGCTCCTAGAGTGTGGTATTCTGTAGCAGGATGTCATCGCTCTAAGTTGAGGGAGACCATGAAGAGCTTGATCCCTGGGATGTCAGGAGAGCAGTCAAAGGTGAACGATGATCCTGTAAGCAAACTTTGCTCTCGTTGATTGGTTGCCCCATGGGGATATCGCTGTTCAGCAGAATCAGGAGAAGTGTAGATCGATCGTTAAAAAAACAGTAGGCAGCATGGGATGGTTTAGTTCCAACATTGTTAAGGTATGCTCACGGTTCTTCTCTTGCTCACTACCTTTTGCTTTTCTTTCTCTATATTATGTAGTCACGGGCAGACGCGAGTTCCTTAGTCATTCACTGAAATCGCAGAGGATGGACAAGAGTTATGATGATGTGAGCAAGAGGGAGTGATGTGTATGATCTGCTTTTTTCCTTTTGAGTCAACTTTATGTATTGTATGTTTGATATTCTACATATTATTTGAAACCATATCTCTCAGTGTTATAAAAATCAAGAGATAATTACAGAGGATTTGTTGAGTTTCCAATGCATGTGCAGTAAAATCGAATTATTAGGGTAGATAAGATAATAATATATTTTTTAAAAGAATTAATTAACATTCTCAATCGTGATACTCAAGCTCCATACATTAATGTTTTCAAGGAATTAACATTTTCTTCAGCTTCTAGAGAACATAGACAAACAAAATATTATCCAGTGTATGTCTTTACAAGAATTAAGGGACACTTGTGTGAATTAAATAATCAACCCAAGGCCAAATGAGAAGAATGGTAACATCATTATCATCATTATAAATATAATCCTACAACACATTGTATTTAATAATCAGCTCTAAAAAGGCAATTTAGGAGGAAGAGAAGGGACAAGAGAGCCACAGCTGTGGGATGCTTTAGTATATCTTTTGTGTGTTTGCATCAGTTTAAAGTTTAAACTTACAGCAAAGCCTAAAAATAAGATTAATTTGTCCAAAGCTATTCATTTCTCTTTTTATTTTGTTTTAATAATGGCTTAAAATTTGAGATAGTCATGTAAAGTTGTAAATACAATTATATACTACGGTTTTAGTTTACATAAATAATACATTTTCAGAAAAAATGAAAATCATTTACAAAATTGATTAAACGTAATAACTTACTTTATAATAGTATTTTCTTTTGTTGAGGGATAAATAAATAAATAAGTATTTTTTAGCGAGTGGTTTTATTATATAAAGAACAAAAAACCAATGAAAGAAACTAGAGGAAATCTTAGTGCACAATTCGGCCCATGTTAGTGACATCCTCATTCTGATAGTCCGGCTAAAGATCTCCATTTTATAAAACCTATTACATATTAAACTTTTCCCCATAATTTCTAAGGCCCATCTTATTTTAGGATTGAGGAGGCTACTTATGAACTTAATATACGAATATGATGTACTAGGTGACCGCCTGCGCATCGCACAGGCAAATATCATTTATAAAGTATTATAATATTATTTTTCATTAATTATATTTCATATTTGTATTTTATCTAATATTCATTTTCATATATACTTATAACTAAAAGTAGTTTGGATATAGAGACATACATCAGTAACACAAATTTTATTTTGGTCATACACTAAACTAATTTTTGATAACAATGTAACCAGCATCTGTATCGGTAGATTTCAAAAGCTGTATCACCAAAAAATTATTTCATTTAGCTTAATAATCTCAAAAAGTTAAAATATTACATTAATAAAAACAAATGATAAAAATAAAAAATGCTAAAAACAATAATTATGACATTTAAGATAGACGTTATAGCTAACCAAAACAATCAAACACGCTAAACAAATTATCTTTCACACTGCTAGTTGAGGTCTCTTATTAGACAAATTGCAAACAGCCCAATTTTAAAAACAAATAAAGACAAAGAAAAATATGAAAATCATATATACAATCAAACCAGTATAATATGATAAGGAGAAACTAAATAACCAAACAAACAATTACCATGTTCTTAAGGATATGTATGCGATCCAAAATGTTTTTGAAAATCAGCAAATCCAAAGAAACCGCTGTCACGTTGACGGCAATGATGGAGATATTGTATTTGACGAAAAATACTAAATTACTACGATGATCACTTATAAAAGAGACGAATGTGTCTCCAAAAAACCTTTTTTGTTTTCGAAAGAAGAGGTCCCAAAATCATTAAAGTTCAATGCTTTGCTTAAATGACATCCTCTCAATGTTAGAAGAGAGATCTCAAAATCATTATAGTTTAACAATTTACTACATGAAGATATCTTATCCAGCTAGAAGATTGACTTTCT